ATATTTCTTCAAGTGAGATTAAAAATATCTGATGACTTCTGTTTTGTGTTATTACAGAGGGACAGGAGGACACCATTCTTTCCTACGAGCCAGTCATTCGACAGGAAAGTAAGTGAATCGCTTCTCCACTATTCAAATATAAAGCATTAGTCAGTCTATGGATTGTATGTTTCTACATGTGTCCTCACCTGCCCTTTTCCTCTCCATTGCAGTCCACTACACAAGGCCTGTGATCATATTGGGTCCAATGAAGGACAGAGTAAATGATGACCTCATCTCTGAGTTTCCCCACAAGTTTGGCTCCTGTGTACCCCGTGAGTTCACAGCAACAAACAGTTCCAGACAGTCAACCAAACATAACGGCAGTGACAAAAATAAACTTGTTCCATTCCCCTCTCCAGATACGACTCGTCCAAGGCGAGAGAACGAGATGGACGGCCAGGACTACCACTTTGTGGGCTCGCGGGAGCAAATGGAGAAAGACATTCAGGATAATAAATTCATTGAGGCTGGCCAGTTTAACGAGAACCTCTATGGGACGAGCATCTTGTCTGTCAGAACTGTGGCTGAGAGGGTAGGCGCAGAGACTTGTGTTTCTCTGTGGGATCGGGTTACCAGCTTTGTGTATTTGGGGTATAATCAGAGGCATGTTAGGTTTGCTGCTGAATTGGAAAGCAGAAATTAGTAGTTAATGTTCCACCAGCTTCCAAAGATTGTTAGTTTGCAGTAGTCATTTTTGCAGCATTACAAGAACCACAATCAATCCTTCATGAATCTGTGGCCTACTTAACAAGTCTATAGTATTTTTAACAAGACTTATCTCTACCTGCCAACAGGGGAAACACTGCATTCTGGATGTGTCTGGGAATGCCATAAAACGACTGCAGCAAGCACAACTTTATCCGATTGCCATCTTTATTAAACCAAAATCCATTGAAGCTCTAATGTAAGTTTGAGCTTGTTGGCATACTGTAGTTAACATATCAGGGAATGTGAGCGCGTCTGTGATACTAACTGCAACCTCTGTTCGTTTCAGGGAGATGAATAAGAGGCAGACGTACGAGCAGGCCAATAAAGTCTTTGACAAGGCAGTTAAGCTGGAGCAAGACTTTGGAGAGTATTTCACAGGTTGGTCTCACTGCCCTTTTTGCTTTGGGTCAGCGATTTAAATATCTGTAGTTCCAATTCAGGCTGTAGCTGATGATTTATTTTAAATTATACATTCACGTCAGTTATTTTCTTGATGAATTGTTTGGTTAATAATAATCCAAAACCCATATAAATTCAGTGTACTACTGTGCATCTATTACATGGGACAAAGAAACGCAGCAAAACCTCCCAACAGAGCTGTTGGAACCAAATATTTGGCACTTCTGCTTGAAGTCAATCAGCAAGCTGATTAATTGACTAATCTCTTTAGTTTTCATTTAAATGTTTACTATATGAAATGCCAAAAGAAGGGACAAATCACAATTTCAGCGAGCCCAAGGTAATGTCTTCAAATGTGTTTGTTTGGAAGCAGCATATTTATTTATATTTTTCCTTGATTTAACAACTAAAATTATTATCAGAAATGTTGAAGATGAATTATCTTTTGACCTATTGTTTCAACTGAAGCTCCTACGCAACCAACAAATCTATCTGCCTCTGCATTTGTGTCTCCAGCTATTGTACAGGGTGACTCACTAGAGGAGATCTACAACAAAATCAAGCTAATCATTGAGGAGCAGTCTGGTCCTTACATCTGGATCCCCTCCTCAGAGAAGCTCTGAGCTCCCTGCCGTCCCTCTGCATCGGTGCAGAGCTCCCCTCCTGCCTCCCAGAGACCCCACCCAAGCCCAAATAGCCCCCCTCCTCACCTCCTTTTTGCAGATATGTTTCATATCAAGTTTTAGTGTCATCATTATGTTACTCTCTAAATGAAAAAGAAGTCTTATCACCATTACTGTGACTGTGCACACCCCTGCATGAGTTTCTCAACAAATCCATTCAAGACTGGAAATGCCATTCCAAAGGAATTTGTCAAATGAAAACAAAAGGGAAAAGGAATAAATCCTTTTTGTGAACTGGGACTGACTGAAGATCAGAATGTTTTACAGAAATATGGAGAGAGGAGTTGGGCTTCAAAAAGAAGTTGCAGGGAAACAGAGACAAATCATACCAAGTTGGAACACTTTGTAAATGTTCATCAAAATCACATTTAAAAAGACACGCAAGATGAGAAGTGAAGACCAATTAAGGTTTTTTTGTTTTGTTTTGTTTTCTAAAAAAGACTGGATAAAATCGAGCCCTGCTGATGGTACTGTTCAAGGAGTCATCTCTCTTGTTTATAATGACTGAGGAAATTAGTGGAGCCTACAAACTGGTGATCTATTTATCACAAACCAGCTTGCTGTTTGGTCGTCTGCCAGTTGTCTGTGCTGCAGCTGATAAAGACATCTCGGGAGGCAGATCAAGAGGAAGAAATGCGTTGTGAATCTCTACATTTATATTATGAAATCACAAGATAAATGATAAAATCCCACTGAGATTTTACTACATATTAAAAACTACACATTTTACACTTCACTAGAATTGTCAATTTGGAGGGCTGTTAGATTTCATTTTAGGTTTTTTTTTTTCTTTCTTTCTTTGTGGGATTTTTTGCTTGTGGTTTTTAGCTGCTCTGTGTAAAGGAACGGGGGTAGAGAAGTGTAACTGGGCTCTCTGCAAAACACCAAACTGCCTTACATCAAATACAAATTCTGTTTTGTGACTACCTGTTGTCTGTTAGGGAGGCTGCACACAATTGACAAGGAAAAAGAGAGGAAACATTCTCACCTTTTCCTTACTTTCTTGTGTCCTCCAACTGCCAGGGGGCCTGACTTGAGTGCAATAGTTAAAACAAAGTCTCACCTCTGCAATAGATAAATCAAAGTCTCACCTCTGTGGGCGCCTTTTTCTCCCCTGCATTTTCAACCTCGCTTCCTGTGTAATTAAAAAATTTGGCCATTGGGTTACAATTTGGACAGCCAGAGCCTCCTTACTCACGTTGAGCAGCAGACCACCCTATTACACTCTCTGCCTTCCAAGAGGATTCTCTTCTGATTGAATGGTCACATGGTACTGTCCTATCTGCCGCCATGACGGTGGCCTTAAAACGGGTAGAACAAGACAATAATTGTATTGGATGTCCTAACAATTAAAGAGTCAATATAACCTGTTTTGAATTGTCCACCTGTCCCCCTACCAAAAATAACACTAAAGTTGGGTTTGATTAAACCTATATGCTTTGTGTATCTATAAACGTATGAATTCTTAATGAATCTGTCGTCGGCAGGTGATGAACCACTGTGTTGAGCTCTTAGTGTGTCTGGGGTGAGCTAGACCAGCTCAGGAATCTTAACGTACAGATACCATTTCCCCCTCCGCGACAGAGAAAAGCTCCATGTTTGGGCAATGACACGGAGAGTTCATAGCTGTGAAATGTGAACGATCAAGTACTAACAGTACTGTTGCTTAGTTAAAGGCGTTTTCAACTAAACTGTGTAATCAGGCTGTATTATGTGTCTTCTATTTTCTTGAGGCGGGGAGCTCGTTCAAGGCCATCGGTGTGGTAACCTTTTTGAGTTGGCGGTATGGCATCACCAGGATTGAAATGACCTGCTCCACCCTCCCATACAGATCTTGGCACGGTATCTTAACGTGTGCATGCGAGAGAGCACGTCTGAAGGAGTACTGTGGCCCCCTGATCGTGAACGTTCTCGCTTTCCTCCTGAGCTTTTTTACGAGTGCGAAGGAACTCTTTTTTTTTTTCTTTTTCGTTTTTTCTTCTCAGAGAGCCAGACCCAACAGGAAGTGGTAACCTAGACCTCTGGGGTCCCCTGCTCTCTCCCACCCACAGAGCACCTGTACCTGCAGGCATTTTCTGAACAGGTGTGCCCACCTGCCAGGCACCACTGCTAAACCAGCTGTCATTACCTGTGTCAAAACCAGAGTTCAGGGAATAACCGAAGGGAACAGAGCCATTTATAAACTGCTTGCAGACTGTTTCAAAGGGTGTGGTAGCTGTACAATGTAAATAAGCCCCCAGCAGATCCCCCTCACCTGTGCTTCATGCATGTGTGAATCAAAACTGGGACAAACATGTTTTATAGACCACAAATGTCAGGTAAGTAAAGTTTGAGCTACTCTTGAGATATAATTTCCATACAAATGTGCTGTATTGTTGGTATTTCTCTTCAAATGCCTATTGGAAAAACTTAACTAGTCAGTTGGGAATTCAATTCCCTCAAGTAGGGCCTGTCTACATGTAATTTCTTGTGGAACGTGTCTGGGTGTATAGATTTTAAAAAATATATTGTAAAATAATTCAAAAGAGATGCAGGCAGAAACCTACACAATATCACAGAAACCAGGAGCATTGATCAATACATCATTAGAAGTTTAGAATTGGTCCTCACTGGTGTTTAGTTGAAATACAGCTGACTGTTAACAATGTGTGTGGTATTCATACCTCAGTCAGCCATGTCAAAGCCCAAAGAACTTGATTTCATTTTACTCTTTCCATTGAGGTTGTGGTATATAACGAGATGGAATCTGAATGCCTCTGTGTGTGTATAATTGATGAGGGTCTTTGTTCTGATGAGAGAAATGATGACATATATGCTTTTATTTTTTGGGTGGGGGGGTCAGGGTTCTTGTTTGTACTTTTGGGTGATGATGTTTATGTTATAGCACATCTGTGCAGTAAGTGCTTGCAAACATGAACCCTTTGATTGTACAGTAGTTTCCTTCCTGTCACTGCAGGTGGTACAGCCTATCAGGACACTTGGCCTCATGGTCTTCCCTGTCCTAGTCATGAGGGAACACAGTCCTGCAACTTTTGTTTGGGTTTTATTTTGGGACTTGACAAGAGTTTATTTGTTTGAAAATAAAATATGTGACTCAGTTATGATTTTGATGTGCTTGTTATTCTGCTTAAAGTGAATCAGTGGATTTAAAAATTATAAAGATTTTCTTTTTTTTAAAAGATTAGTTGTTGTTTATTGACAGAGTAGAGAAATACAGGAAACATGGGAGCGGAAGTGAAGCTAACATTCCAGTCTGAAATCAAAGCAGAAACAAATGGTGGTATGCATTTTAACCGCGACTGTGGTTACCCCACATTTGTACAGATTTAAGGCAAAAATGTATCAAACTGGAACATCTGACAAACATTTTAACACAACATTAATACTGGTAACATTTAACTGCAACAAACTGAGTCAAAGTTCACCCTCAGAACAGGCAGTAAACAGCTGGCCTGTCCCAGTTTGGTTATTCTTCCATGACGAGGTTCTTCTTGGCTTTGTCCAACCTGTCGAGGATTTCACTGTAGAGTCCTGACATCTGTGGGTACAAAAGAAACAACTGTGTAACTTCAAATGGTATTGGCTATCAAAGGACTACAGTAATGATTTTATACTTAATTCAAAATCTGTGTTTCTTGGACCAAAGCCTTTTTTTTTTTTTTTTTTTTTTTTTAGGTTTGCTCATCTAGCAGGAGGATTCAAGCTCCATCGTGCTCCACTGCAACAACCGCGTCATTCTGTTTCGTCCCCCGCCTTCCTCTCTGCCAGATCTCTACCTGTGTCTCGTAGCTCTCCTGCAGGGATCCCAGGTGGCGGATGAAGCTCATGGCAAGCCCACACCACTTCTCAGCCTCGGGGTACTGGGCCAGGCTGTACAGCAGTATCCCTGTGTTCCAAGCACGAGTCAGCAACCACAGGGTCTCCATTTCTGGGAAGTCGTCCGGCTACACAGAAGAGCAGGAAGATGTTCAAAAGGCCATTTAGCGGAGAGGCCACTTGGGTGACTCAATTGAGCCAAGTGATGTAAGTGAAGTATGGAAGGAAATCTGTGTTTTTACTGGGTTAATCCTGTGAGTAACTTTCATCCAATCCTGTTCTACTGTATGTTAACCTTTACTAATGCTTAGCAGTCTTAAACAGACCGTAAACAAACTCAAAGGTCTATCATTTCTAAAGTTTTATTCGTTATTTTATCTTGGGCTTTCACTTTGATCCAAAGAATTCCACAGCTTTCGAGTAATAACTCAATATGAAAGGGGAAATATGCTCTGCCTCTAAAGCAGTGTAATGTCTCAATAATTTGATGCCTCTTTCAGAGCTGCAGCTCACCGGCAGTGTGGTGACTTGTACAGCACATTAACATTCAAATTGGCAGGAAGGGGGTGGTGAATGGAAGCATCTGCTAATTGAAGTGCGGCTGAAAGCCCATTGATAAAAAGAGGCTTCTAGAACAGCAGGCAGGCATGGAGTGGAAGAGAGGGGGTTAATTATATAGCAGGGGAGAAGTTCTGTTGGAGGGAACAGGAGGTGGGAGCCAAAGGATGGCGGTGTGTGATTGGTGCTGACTCACTGCGGCTGCGATGATGGACAGGGCCTCTTCGTAGTAGTCCCACACCTCCTCGAGCACATGGGCCTCCACCTCTGATACGCCACTTGGGAGGGACAGCTTGATCAGGCTATGAACACACTTGCTGAAACACAGGGACACAAAACAGTCACACAACCAGAAACCCTTTCATCCTAATAAGCACTTTGTAGGAATGGATCATTAATGAAATGTCAAGGGTATTTTCATGCAGAGTGTGATGATGGGTATGCCTGCAGCGCGCCAGGTCAGCCTGTGGTTGTTTCTTGTGCAGAGAGAGAGCAACCCTCAAGGCCTTCTTACACAGCAGAGGGAAGTGGGCTGGAGGCTCCATGGCTAAGGCTACGTATAGAAACAAAGAAAGATCCCAGCATACTGCAAATATTTGAACGTATCTGCTTCTTTAGGCATGTCAGCAGAGATAAGACTAACAATACAGCAAGGGTTTTTTTTCTACCTGCAATGGTTTCTAGCACCTTGGTTTCAACATTTTCAAGCTCCAACACAGACTCCATTACTGTCTCAACTTTGGGGTCATTTAGCTTAGCACGAGCCTCAAATTCATAGAGCAGCAGCAGTGTGTCTGTTGGGTCCATTGGGAAGTTTCCTGTAAGCACATGTAGAGAATACATTTCTTTAGATCCATTTTGATTCATGTGAAGAGTGTAAATGAACATGGTTGCTACTCTGAATGCTTAAGGTACCTGATGCTTTCAGGGTTTTCCAGACCTCCCAACAGATCTGAATGTGCTCCAGAGCCTGAGTGAGCTCCTCAGTCTGTAAATCAAACAGAAACACAAAACCTGCATTATGGAGTCATCATTGCCACCTAGTGTTCACTTCCTCTTCAAAGGCAGAGGGATTAAAATGAAACACCTACGCCAGCACCAATAATGTGTTTAGTCACCTCTCTTCTCCACTGGTCTTGGTAAATTTCCATCCATGTGGATGGAGAGCGTGCTAAATGTAGGAGATGGGCAGAGGGAGTGGGTGGCACACCTGGGCAGAGAGAGGAGACTTCCTGCAGAGCTCCAAAGAGGCAGCAGCAGCCATGAGCAGACATGTCTTCTGGCCCATAAGCAGTGTGCGATCAGGAGGGCACAGCTGGGAGAGCTACGGGTTCATGCACACACATATATGACAAAGGAAAGGCATGTGTGATAGTGTAGCATTTCTTAAATACTACAATCAATTTTTGATTGCAATAAAACAAGTATGAGCACAAGACCAAGTCAAATGAAAATGTGAGCCAGGTATTCTGGTAAATGTGAGGTCAGAGGACAGATCAGGATGGGATCACTGGGGGTCACTGCGATTTTTTATCTTAAAGTGATACGTTTATCTTTATAAAGCAATGTTAAATCCCTGTTCAGGTGTTATTGATCTACACCCACGTACTGTAGATATTGATTAATTCCCCTGACAAAGCTAATAAAGGCACTTGCCTGGTAGGAAAGCACAAAGAAATCCCTCATTCTGTCAGGGCTGCTCTCGCACTGCAGAGCCGAGTTCCAAGCTGTAACAAAGACACACACACACACACACACACACACACACACACACACACACACACACACACACACAGACAGACAAAATGAAGGTGCTGCAAGATATAAAAGTGATACTGTAGCGTACCATGTCTGATTGAAGTGACAATAAGAAAAAGTGTCGTATTACCAATCTTCCTGAACCAGTTAGCTTCCTCTGTGCGCTGCTCAACAGTCATGCGAGACTGGTGTGAGACTTTCTGCAGAGCTGCAGTGATGACAAACGAAACATCAGTGGGTTATTTTGCACAGCGGATACTGTAGTTTCTTCCCATAATGCAATTTAACCGCTGTTGCACATGTACTCACCCATTTTTAGATATGGCAGCAGGACATCCAGATTCACATTCCTGCATGTAGCGATGTAAGGTAGTAAATGTAAATCTGTGTTTTCATGTTATTAAAAGCAGCATCAATGATACTATTTATCGGGTACTTCCCCTTTCCCTCACCTCTTCTCATCACACGATTCTTCTATTGTGGAAAGCACAAGTCGAACCAAACACCTACAAAAAGATGAATGGAGAAACTGGTGTTGACCTCCTTTATTTCACCTACTAACTGTATTATACAGAGACACACTTTCAGTGGAGAAGCAAGGGAATATAGGTCAGTGGATCATAGAGGTGTATGGAAAACTAACAGACTCGCTACAATTTCTCAGCACATAAGCCATTTCTAATAAATGTCACTTTATGTGTGAAACTCTACCATCATGTTTTGTTTACACGGCCTCAACACATGAACACTGAATGCTTCAAAATAAAGTAATTTAAAAATTGGTATCTGAAATACAGTAAGTAAGAAAAAAAACCTGAAAAAGCATCACATTGATCACTGCAATGTCCCTTACAGCCATGTCTATTATGCTTTATGAAGGAGAGGGACTTAGTTGTGTGAGGTTCTCAAATAAATGCAGCTTTCATATAAGATGTATCTTAACACAATAGATGTAAATGGTGTATTTTGGTATTCAACTCTTCATTTGTATATTCCAGTTGTCACAGACCTGAGAGCAGTCAGAACCTGAGCGTCATCTTTGGAGTTTTCACACAAACTCTCCAGCGCCTTCATGGCCGTTTCCTGCTGTTCATTCTGTCACAGAGGAACAAACATCCTCATCAGTGTAAATACCACCACCCACCGGTCATATTCATCTCAATCACACGGTATACTAAAGATAGGGTTCCCACACATTTTCTATTTATAAAAATAATTTTCTAGTCCTTACCCTCACGAATTGTTAATAGCTAGTTGCTGTCCAGTATGTTTGATGATAGAAGCTTAGGACAGTGGTTCTCAGCCTGGGGTTTGTGGACCTGCAGGGGTATTTGAGGGGGTTCCAGGGGGTCCCCAGAAAATTGGGAATATTTTAATTTCACTATTATTTCACTGATTAAAAATTAACCCATTGAGAGAAAGGTTTCACACTCTTCACTGTTAATCTGCCAATCTACAGTGTAGACAGTTATTGAATCACTAAATCTTATCAAACTGAGATCCCTGAGACTACATCTACATCAATAATGGGTCTGTGGCCTGATGTGTATCAATTTGAGGGTCCCTGACACAAAAAAGGTTGAGAACCACTAGGTAAGGTATGTCCACTATGTTTTTATACCTTACAAAGGTAATAATAGTAGGTGGAAAAGCAGTACGAACTTTGATATGTAAGCCGAACATCAATGTTTGTAGACTTGTTTATATGTTTATGTTCAATAGGCCTGGGGAGGTGGTCGACAGTAATGTAACCCAATGACATGACCAAACATCTGCTATCACACTACCCCCCAGGTCCTCTGCACAGGCGCCCTCACCAACCAGGATGACTGCAGTGACAAGGACGTGATCTCTCACCGGCTTCCCACCCGCAAACTGTGCCAACTGGTAAACTGTTACAGGTCCAGTGTGTAACATTTCGGTGGATCTATTGTCCGAAATGGAATATAATATCCACGGGTATGTTTTTATTAGTGTATAATAACCTGAATATAGGAATCATTGTGTTTTTGTTGAGCCATGAGCCGTTTTTATCTACAGACGGAGCGGGTCCTCTTCTACTGTGTCCGCCCTGTTGAACTGCCATGTTTCTACAGTAACCCAGCATGGACCAACTAAACACGCCTTTCACGGCAAACACAGCTTCTCCTTGTTTTTCAGTTTGTTGCAATCAGCAACTTCACCGCTACATGCCACTAAATCCTACATACTGATCCTTTAAATTTTCTGTTCAAGCTGCAAGTACCACTGTTGAGAACTAAACCCACGTTTTTTAACCCCATAACATCATAACAATACCATAAAGGTGGGAAATGTGACCATAGCGGACCAAACTAATTATTTTCCCATATATTCCACACATTCTACAACTGGTGTGCAGAACTGAGTCATCTGTCCTGTGATGCGTCCTACCTCCAAAGCAATCTGAGCAGCCAGACGGAGAAGATTGGAAGCAGCATTCTCAGATACCAGCAGTCTGTCCTCATTGGCCACAGGACTCTTGGACAGAAGTCCCATCGCATTCACTGCTTCTGCAGCTGGTGCAAATAAACAGCCTCATTACCGCAAAGAATATGCTGAAAATGCAGCTGTAATGAAATTGCAACACTCTTACCGTGCATGCTTTTACTGTATAAAAATCACACAACTAATGTCTTTAAGATACCTTTCGCCACATTCTTCTCCAGCACTGCAATCTTGTAAACGCTGAACTGAGTGAAAATGCTGTCAGGATCACATCTCTCTGCTTCTTTAATTGCTTCTTTGGCCTGATAAGCACACGTTTTTTTTTATATACATGCAAAAATATGTTAAACACATAAACTGTAAAAGTATGGCAGAAGGACTTGCCATTGTGGCCGGTGAGTTTTGAAACACACCACCACCACTGGGATTTCCCTCACTTGCTGTTGTGGCTCAAGTTGTCTCACCTTTTCCAGTTGCTGAAGCTGTAGGAAACAGGAAGCTCTGTTCCTCTGCAGTTTGGCTAAGTTGGGCTCCATTTGACCTGCCTTAAAGAAACTCAGGGAGTAGTTATACCACTGAAGAGCCTCAGAATAGTTCCCAGCCTGGGTAGAAATGGAGATCATTAAGTTAGCCTTTATTTATCCATGTGAACAATTAAACCTCTGAATTCTACCTATCCTAACAATTAGTGGGCAGCCACAATGCAGGGATCAGTAATTGTAGTAGAATACCACTAGTTCTGAGGCCTGTACCTTGTTCAAAAGCAGTGTAGGATTATTCCTGCCAAGTCTGTTTTGGGGTTTTAAAGAAACCATAGCACCCAAAACAACCCCACATAAACACAGAGCGAACATGCACAGACAACGTAGATAGGAGGGGCAACAGCGGCCTACCAGCCTTCTTGCTGTGAGGCAACAGTGCTGATTTCATGCTGCTAAATACTTGTGTATATGGACAATAAAATATCTTGTGTATTAAGGATAAACAAAGTTGTGTTTGGTATACCTCAAAGTGTTTGGACGCTTTATCCCACAGCATGACATGGAGACTTGTGAGGGCCTGTGGAGTCAGCTGTTTTCCTGTATAGTGGCCTGTGTGGGTGTGAAAATGGTAATACAATACAGAGGCACATCTACAGCGCATTACCAGCATTACTATAAGATTCATAATGCCATTTTAATAACTACTTATCCTGGAATGGAATTTGACAGTAAAGTACCGGTGATGATATCCTCTATCTTCTGTTTGCTCAACAGCTCCTTGCCTCTCTGCAGCAGTAGCTCAATGTGCAAGACAAGAGCAGTTCCCAGGTCAGGGGACGACTCAAAGTGCTGACACACACGTTTCAAATACTCAAATGCCAGCACTTCTCTGGGCAAATCAAAACAGACATGATTCAGAGTTGAATAGTATGCGTCTGGGCATTCCTTTAAAGAAAATGTGTATATGTGCACAGGTTCGTTTTAAGCTATGTGTGTGTGTTTATTTATACAAAGAGCCAAGTGGAAGTGCAAGTAAAAAGATGCTGAACTTTTTACCTCTCTTCAGACATGAGTAGTTTCACTGTGCTCAGACACACTTCGAGAGAAACCTTAGCTTCCAGCGTCTCATTAAGACCTGAAAACACATTTTTATGATCTGCTTTAAAATGTGCATTTAACTCTGTCACCCACAGACACACAGTAACACTATGGAGGGGGCCAGTCGACTGGACACCTAACCTGACTAGGGAGTTATTACTGTAAACACCTCAATGAGCAATTAAATTCATCAGCAGACATTTCTGTGTATTTACTAATCTAATTAATCCCTAGTATCTTCAGTGAATCAAACTAGCAACATTTCATTCTTGGATCTTCGTCTCCAACCTCTCAGCTACTGACATCCCACTGCTGCCTATGTTAATGAAGCTCTGTATAAATAATTGAATGAGGTCGGATAATGACTAACCTGCTTTGATATGATCGTCAGACGCCCCACATCTCAGAAGTATTCTGATTTTTAAGTACAACCCAGAGGCGCTCACACATTCCTGTCAAATTGCACAGTGCCATTAGGTACAGAGCATCTGAGCATTTTTTGCGCGTGCATGTTTCAAAATGCTTACATAAATTACAATGTGAAAATAATTTCTCGATCCCACCTTGTTGGCTAAGTTGATAGCATTAAGAGCCTTCTCCTGAAACGTCTGACAATCCCACTCTACATAAACAGTGGCGAGGAGCCTCAAAACCTTGGCCTATTGTAAGGGAAATTGAAGAAAAAAACAATTACTAGTTGTGCCCATTGCTTGTATTAAACAATGTATTGCACTGGACAATTTTCTTACCTGGACTCCAGATCCAGGGGCGTGTTTCACATTCATTTTTCCAATGTCATAACTTTGACTGAAAAGGAAGGAGTACACATTTACTACTGCATTATTTCTCAGCACTTTCTTGTAGTAATTAAATATTTTACTTACCTCAACCAAAATGCACTGTCCTCAAACTTTCTCACATTGTAAGTGTCTATTCCAAAGTTGTAGCACATAAGGGAGAGGTACGCAGTCTGCATTAACAAAAATATATTCACAGTTAACATCCCCCACACTTTCAATAGCAATATGTACAGTAAATGTGAAGAAAACAATATATTATGTTGTTACAATGAAAACAGAGGGATATTTGTTTTACATCTTTTGGTAGCCGCAGCAGCATGTCTTTACAACGTTGCATATAGGTCACAGCCTCGTGGTTATTCCCTTGACTTAGGGCCTGCAGAAAAGAGACTTGAACTCATTAAATGTCAGCAAACAATATAATTCCCCATTAGCACAAGATGAGATTTACCCCTCTCATTGTTTCTCAGTTCACATTTTAGCTGTCTCACACTTCACACTGCAAGTCTGTCAGAATAGCACTTCCTCAGCTGCCAAATATCACAAGAACAAATATTCACATTGAAGGTGTTGAACATCACATGCGCCACAGCTCACCGATTCTGCCTGGTATGACAATATTCGAAGCAGATCCTTCTCTACATCCCCCTTGGATGAAGTGGTGTCAGCTGTTCCGTCACCTCTGGACGTTAGTTGGCTATAGAGGGTTTCCAGGCTCTAGGGATATTGTATGTGGAATAATTTGTGAAGACACAATATTCCTGTTTACTCTCTCAGTGTGAGTGTTAATTTGTTTCTTCACCTTGACAGCAAGCCTTAAGAAGTTATCTGCCATCTGGGGATTTTTGCAGTCCAGCCAGGTTCTCCCTGTTTTGCTGGCCATCTGTAAAGATTAGACACTTATAAACAGACCTAGTCCTCCTGAAACATAGAGCACTCACAGAAGGTGCTGACAGTATTGCTTACCAGGATTTGCTTGCGGATGGCGCCCTCTGTTGGATTCTCAGGCTCACAGCAGTAGAGCAGACTGCACGCAACATGACGCACTGTGAGGATGGTGAGAACATGTGAATGTGACGTAACACAACTGTGACTACCCCCTGCTTGCAATCCCTAAGTTGTGTCAACATTTTAGAAAATGTGTCTGAGTATTTTCAAATATCACACTCATCAGTAAAATTACAAGGTAATTAATACTGCAATTAGAAGTGTACCTTTGGCTTTCTGATTTTCACTGAGAGTCGTGCCCACATTCTTAGTAATGGCCCAGTTCCACAGCTGAATGGCACACTCCTCAAGCTGTAATATGAGTAAGAAAAAGAAATATGCATGCACCTTATAAATTCTGGCCACATAAAGGTGACATAAATGTTATATTAGAAAAAACAACCTTTAACTTATCACTTGATAAATAGACCTGATCTCAGTAACAGTACTAAACTTGTTGCCGTTACATATTGGTAGGTACTGCATTACAAGATTGTTTTTGGAGTTTGAATTCACACACATGTACCTACTTGTGGATCTGGTATTTTGGGGATATGCTCTGGGCCAGAGACTTCAGAGAAGAGTTTTTCTACCAGCTCATCATAGTCTGTTGGTTGTTTCTGCAGCAGGTTATCTGTGAGACCTGTGTATGAATGTTTACAGACACACCATCTTCACCAGTGATCAGTGGTACATGGTATAGCATATATCACAGTATAGTTTTAACAACTGAAACCTTAATTTCACCATAGGAGACAGAAGGGGAAAAATGTTAGCTCATCACTGACTTCTTCTTGCATTCACAAATTAAGCAAGAGTAAAAGAAGCCCATAATATTGTCATCAACAACAAAAAGCACCATCCTACAAAATATTGGTGGAGCAACAGTTAGGTCAAGTAGGAAGTTTTCTTGAAATAAGTCCAAAGTTTTACCAAAAAAAGTTTGTGTCGCAAAAGCCGATTTCACTCCTAATGTATGTCTTGTGGCAATTTAAAAAATCCTTTTTGATATATTGTTGTAGCCCTGGGCTTTACAAATTAAAAATACATATTAATCCGTAAAGGATGACGATTCATGTTATTATTTAGTCTATTAATTCAGTCTTAGATCATCATCTCTTCAAAAGTTGGAAAGCTGTGACCTTCAGCGGTGAAAATAAAACGTGATCAGCTTTGTTCTCTCCATTATATGACAGCTGTGTTCATCTGAAGCTGTAAGAGATGCGTATGAATTTATAGTAAAATTATCTTGTGCGCACAACATAAACAATATTTCCTTTTGTTGACTTTTGGGGCTTTAGCTAAGTTTCTCTCCAATTTTGAATTGCTTTCACACAGTGTTACTTTATTGCTCTCTCATTGGGTCAAGTCAACTTCAATGTCACTTTCTGGAGTTAAAAAAGAAAGTTGTCAGCTCGCTATAACAACGTTCATTCTACTGTACACTGGTTTATTTATTTTGGTCACAATTCAGCTCAGGTGAATCTGAATCAGAAGAGGTCACAGCAGAGGTTAACGTTAGCATAAACAAGCTAACCTAGCTAGTTAGCCTCAGCTAATGGCATTATGAGAGGACGGCTCTGTGCTAGCTAGCTGTTAGCCACCGAGCTAGGTTGGAAGTTTAGCTAACTTTAGTACAACTGAAATTTGTAGGAAAAACGGTGTTAAACCAATACTTGAATAACAAATAGGTCTCGTAGTTAGTCAAGTGAACGGGATATTTACTCACATTTCACAGTAGAAACAAACTGCTCCATATTTTTAGGTTTCACCGCTGAGATTAGCTCTCAGGCTAACTAGCTGTTAGCTGTTAGCTCTTCTTATTTGATTGACAGATGCTACAAATGCCCGCGAAGTTTGTTCCGGAGGGGAAGAGCTTGAAGGTAGCAACACTATATACGTTTGATTAAGTTAGTGCCTTCATCGTTTAATTGTTCAGAGACTGTTTAATATTGTTCCACTGTCCTGTTACTGTTAGCTCAGCTAGCCCTGAGTCATATTGACATAACGTTATGTTAGCTGACTAGATCTGATCCCTCCATCGTGTAGGCATATTTCACATAGGACTGTAAAAAAAATAAAAGTAATAAACTAACAAAATGCTATATTTATAAGCACTTGTCAGTAAAGTGTAACAATAACTAACGTTAATACTGTAAATGGTGCTGACCTACTGAAAGCAGCTTGCTTCAACCCTTATAAATGTAATGTTAGTATTAATATATAATTATAACATTAAAAGATCCCTGCAACAAGAGACAGATTATACACAGGACATTTTCACTTGGTTGTGGGTGCAGTGCACACTGTTCGTACCTGCTGTTATGGTTATAGTTCACCCACAGACTGTAAATCAAACAGTGCCACTTTTAACTGTATTAGTCACACTTTTGTGTTACTGGTAGAACAAGTCAGAAGAAACAAAATATCTGATTCTGACACATAAACACTGACATATTTTACTGTTTTCGAGATACTGAAGTGAAGCTAATCTCACCTTTAATATATTTGATGCAGGGCCAAACAAACAGAAACTGAAGGCCTAAGTTTTCATTTATTATACAACATCTCTGACAGGAATATATAGGATTTAGGCACTGCAGCCTAAACTTTTGGACACCAATACCCTGTTTTTATTCAGTCATTACATGTCCGATTACCAAAAGTAACCAGATAGTTTGGTCAACATGACTAAACCTGAGACCCACTTTTAAAACAACTGAGTGATCAGAGCAGACATTCACTTTTACTCTATTAAGAGAGAGTTCAGTGGTACTTTAAACGTGGCAGCTGGTTTTGCTGATTTTGTACATTTAATTTCCAAATATTTACTTATTATTGGATTAAATTTGGAATTGATACATATTACCTTTTTACACATTGTCAATTTGTGTTGTTACTTTTGTTCTTGATCCAACAATGGGGATATCAGACCATGAAATACTTAGTAAGAATCTTCTATAGAGAACCCAGATCTTGAACCGTGTGCCACCTTCTTGCGTGTCAAATTTGATGCATGATTGGTTTCCAGAAATGTAAGTCTTCCAAATTGTCGATGACCCTGTCTTGAAAAACAACTATTGATATTTTTGCTGTCATATGACAGATGGGTTTGTTAATATTGTGGACTATAACTCCTTTTTTGGCCACCAACATTTACTCCATAGGATTATATTCCTTGCTTCCAAAGCTGCAGAATGAATGGGGTCTGGAGACTGTGGCTTTGTTTCCACTCACGACTGACTACAGTCATTTGATCAACAGGGCAGGCAGTCAGACCCCCTCCACTCCTCTGCTGAAGAAAGACTTTATTTCTGCTGGTTCATTTACCCAAGAAGACTTTGCGGTAGGGGCAAAAGGAAGAGTGCATGCTGCGTGTGTAGAACCAGTTAGTCCCTCGTAGTGTGTTTTGAACTCCAGGTTCTAAAAAAAACCACTTTAAATCCACCCCTCTCAGCTAGAAACTTCCAGCAATTGTTCATCAGGAGACTTATCTGCTGCCCTCTTGGCCCAACAAGAATGTCTCCTTTACTGAAGACATGAATGTGAACACAGGCTAAGAAAATCGTTGTAGTAAACAAGGCAAACCTCACTTTAGTGAGCTGCTGCCTTTCTTCTCATTTCAAAATCAGTGAGTCACCATTCAGACTTGATCAGACAAGACTTGTAGCCATTTTCTTAAGACTAATATTTCAGTCTCCTCACTATTATGCTATGTTGTTAATTCCTGAAAGATTTAAAATGAGAAGGCTGAACCTATTGGTGCTTCAGCACAATTTGGTGAGAATCCACAGTCTCATTAATGTCTGGAAACAATGTAAACCAACAGCCTATAATGTGCCCTTATTGGAATAAACCATGCAGAAGAGAGCAAACTTTTGGTGTCTACTCTTTCTAGATGCCCAAATATGGATATCACTTTGTCATTTCCTTGAGTGATTTCATGAAAACATACAATTAAACTTCACTGTAAACAGTGAGCTAAAACACTGATAGCGTGTATGAAATATCTGAATTCTTGAGCAGGACTGTCCCAGAGTGCCAGAAAGCAGAAAAAGTCTATGTTATAAACTGTTTCCCATGTTCTCATGCGCCACTGTTTTCCTGCGACAGGGATGGAAGAGCGATGCACATTTCATCACCAGCGCTGTCCCTCACCCAGGACGCATCACTCAAGATCCAGTCCCCAAGGTGGTGGCGGTTCAGTCCTGACGAGGGCGGAAAGGTGAGGGCAGGATGTTCTTATTTACAATGCCTGCTACTGTGACCTGCAGCAGCGTAATTGTTGTAGTGATAAAAGAAAACAGTCTGCAGCACATCCACACACTGCAGGGTACTGCTGGACAAAAGAGGATTATTTACACTGATATAAAAAGCAGTGTATCCTGTTTCTGGAGTTAAAAATAAACCCAGCAAATATTTATTCTAAACACTTGGCAGATAGATTTGATCTGATGTCACAATGATTGTTTACATTTTAGTCCTTTTCCTCCAGATAACTACTGTAACCTTTAACCTCAGTTACACAGTAGTTTGATTTTATCAAAGGCAGTGTTAAACGCAAAGGTCGGTCTAATGATCTACATCATAATTTAACTTAAAACAGTGCTCTGACCCTTGATCAGCAAGGTGATATTGATTAATCAGACCTATCAGACCACACCAAGATTGAAATGCTGTGAATCATTGAGGGTTTTTTCAGTTTCTTTAGGAGTGGAACTTATATAATAAATAAATATATTTGCTGTACTTACTTCTTTTGTATATTTTCATGTTCGGTGGTGTTACTAACACATTCCTGTACCATTAGCTACCAACACGGTGATTGGTCTGCAGGATTAGATCTGATTAATCATTATTTCTCATAAGTGATCTCTTCCTCAGTAGCCTGAAGGAGAGTCCCCCCCCCCACCACCAAAAAAAAAGTGACGTTGCGTCCTTCCTCCTTGTCTCCATAAAACGTGCCTCACGTTTGGACCGTACAGAGGAGACGAAAGGGAGGAGAAATTGTCCAAGGCGCGCACGAGAGGCAGGAGCTGATTGACCTTGCTTTTTTGTGCGCTATACCAGACACCAGTTCGACATTGATATACCACTCACTAAACTTTTATTTTTCCACCATCCATTAAATTTTAATACACCTAACTTTTTCGTGGTGTTTTTTTTTTTTCCGTTCGAGAGCACCTGCCCCGAGGATACAGCGGTGCATCCGTCTCCTCATTGCGGGGATCGGGAGTTGGACTATCCAGCTGTGCAGGAGAGCTCCCCTGCGAAACGCGTCATGGGATACAGGAGAGCCACTGCAGCTTTCTGCATGTACACCTGAGGGCTTTTTTTGTGGATTTAAAGCACATTTTTCTTTAAAAACAAAAAAGAAAGAAAGAGAAAGACTTTAGAATAAGATTTACTCGCTTCAAAGGAGAAACTTGTTGTCAGTCAACCGGAATTATAAGCCTCTTGCAGGGACTCCTTATTTCTAACACACGGTTTGGATCTCGGTGAAGAGTTGGCAGCATGGTCTCATCCGACTGCTTCAAATGGGTCGTTGTCATCTTGTGTTGTTCATCACTCACAAATGGTAAGAAATCAGTCATGCTTGTTCAGATTAGTTATTTACGCGCAGTGGAGTTTTATGGATGAAAGAACAGCATTTTAACATCGCACATTTTAAATGTTTGATTCGTTTCAATGAATGGTTGAATGGATATTGATTTTACAGACATTTGATTTGATGAAGTGTTATTGGAAGGAGAAATACACAGAGTGGCTCCCCCTCATTTGTCTTAATAATAATCGTATTATATTTAATTGAGCTGTAACCGAGAGTTGATGTTGTTTTTTGGCTAATTTTTTTTTTATCCTAGCTTTTGTGGAAGTTTTGTTTTGTTTTGTTTTTGGACTATTTCAATTTGCATGTTGTAGGAAAATAATGTGTCAACAGTTTAAGCCGGTCATTGGATCTGTAATTCTCACTTAAGCCGCTAGAGGTCGTCTTGCCCCGTTGTAATTCGATGATTATTAAGAAGTTAATACAATTTGTTGACTGACAGGTAAATTAAACTTATGTGCAGACGTTATATTTCAATACAAGACTGACTTAATTGATTCTTTTTTTGATTTGGATTTGTTTTCTTAGATATTCTGAAGATATTGCCAATCAGCCTTTTGTTATATATTGTGAAAAACGTTTATTCCAGCAATTGTTATCAGTGAGTGAACAGGATTAAACATTATGGAAAGAGGGTGCATGTTTCTACTGACAGTACAATCAGCTGCATTGTGTCAGTGTCACTCCACTTCAACAAGATAGAGTATAAAAGGTGGATGTTCCTCCACCTTGTGCCAGGTCTAGTGTGCCACTGAGATACACAGTGAGCCTTCCTCAGCAATTCCAAATAAACAGCCCATCCAAACAAAGGAAATACTGTTCAGATTCACCCCCTCCCCCCACCACCACACATACACTCATACACACTTTCAGCCTACGAAGCTTTGTCTATGATGTTTTTAAGTAGATTTCCTTCACTGTCCACACACAAAGCGTGGGAAAGACACAAGGAGGAAGCGGACGTAGGGGCAAGAGGCAGCCTGGAATTGTTCTGCCTAGTAAAGGTCACGGAAATGTGACACGCTACCTGAGCAAAGATTTCTTCCCGGAGCTCCTTGTGCTCATATTGAGCCATGTAAAACTCTCTCCACAAGACAATGGGAGGGAGGAAAGGAGGGTATTGTTTCTGCATAAGAGCCGCTGACTGGTAGAGCCATTAGTTATTGATGGTGCATCAAGATCTTTCTATTCATGCTGAGGTGTGCACCAGATTTATCCAATAAAGCACAAAGCTGTACAGAAAGAAATCATGCTTAGCCTCCAAAAATAAGATTCATGTTGCATCCTGTCAACAATAGTGCAGGGTCATAATATTACAGTTATAAGTTTATCGCGGAGAGACATTGTGACTTTTTATTCTACTCAGACACATTTCTACTGTAATGAGTGAATAAGAGGTAAACGCTGTGTCTAAAAGATAGTCTGACCTCTTTGGTGATTTGTTAATATTTAACTTGTAGCTGTTTCTTATCTAAAAATTAACACAGGTCAAGTGTGTTGCTTCGTGACCTTTTGACACCAGTGGAAATGACGGCTCAGACTGAGGGAGAAAACCTTTTTGCAGCTCTCTGCTTCATGATGAATTTCAGATTTATTTAAGTAGATTTGGTCAATAGTTAATGACTAAGCTGTCTGCATAATATACTGATTAAGTTAACTGTGTTTTTGAATTTCATACTATATCCAGGTAGTTTACTTATATAATGTCTTGCAGTGTACGGGTGAATTTGTCCTAGAATTATGAGACAAACCCCAAGGAACACGTTTATGTGTAGATTTACATTGTTTTAGTCTGCTGTTTTAAGGCACAGGCCAAATTGTGGAAAAACAATTGAAGCAAAGTGATGATTGATGGGTTTGATAGAATTTGAACCCTGAAGCTGCCTTGTTTTTTTTTTGGTGGGAGTTCCCTCTCTATTACTATCCACAATGCTGTATTAGTCAAACATCTCTTTTCTACAATGAGTGTTTTTTTTTTTTTTTTATCTTTCTAGCAGAGTCAGTTGATGTTGTGTCTAATTTGTTTTGGAGTCATTTTGTCTTTCCTGCTGAGACACTTGAGATGGAGTGGAAAATGGCAGTGATGAGAGGTCAGCAGTGGGGGCTCATTGCTCACCGGCGGTACGTCTGGGACCATGCAGGGAGCACAGCAAAAACACATCGACACACACACTCACCTGGATCTGGAGACTTACCAGCAGACTAGAAAAAGTAATTCCCTTACACAGGGATATTTAACTTAACAAATTGCTTTGTGTAGCTGTTCTTATAGGATGATTGCAGCATCTGGTCCATACTAGGCATATCCACCCTGAGCCAGCAATATATTTTCTTGGAATCCTGCATGAGATTTCAATTTCGAGGAGCTTCTGGCTGCCTACTAGTCTTAATCATACATTATGGAGCAGGAATCCTCTGGGTTTACCATTTTGGACTCTCATGCAGGCGATTCCTGTTTGTTGGCTCTACTCAACTTTATATAACCTAGAATGGCCACCCATCATGGCCAGATGTTCCATTATTTTGCTTTTTTAAGAGGAGTCTGGGGCATTTTGCCTCCAAATCTCGAAAGGCTAATATACAGCTAATAAAAAAGGCACTCTCCCTAACTGTTGTCTTAACCTTGCAGTTGGCAAAGTGGAGGGGTTTCAGAAGGGCGATGTGGGAGAGAAGGATACACTGACCATGTAACACTACCAGAGAAGTGGTAGCTACTCCTTATTTGTTTGTTTTTAGAATCTCAAACTGAAGGAAACTTACAATTAAGGGACTAGTATGTAGGATTTAGTGGCATCTAGCAGTAAAGTTGCAGATTACAACTAACTGAACACTGCTCGCATTTGTATTTGACGACCTGGGAATGAGAAAAATGCGAAAGGCCCTTTCTACAGCCAGTGTTTGGTTTGTCGGTTCTGGGCTACTGTAGAAATATGGCGGTTCAATGCGGCGTCTGTAGATAAAAATGGCTTATTCTAAGGTAAAGAAAACACAATGATTCTTGTATTCAGCTGTTTATACACTAATGAAAAAAAACTATGAATATTATGTTCCATTTCTGCCAATAGAGCCTCCTAAATGTTACACACTGGACCTTTAAATGTGACAGACACAAAAACCCTTTACAGCAGGATACTGTAGCTGCACTGCCACGCAATGAAGCAAAGACACTGTGAGAAGGTATAAATCTTTAACTTGCTAAACTTAGATTTAGTGGATATAAATCTAACTTTACTTTGCCTCAGATGGGCGAAGTTGACTTACCAGGAGTGACCCTGCACACTTTTGTCAAGCGAAAATTCACTCTCCACCTTTTCTATGTCTTTGTTGACTCAGAATTGCAAAGGATGAAGTGGCAAGGTTAAACGAGGGACTCATCATGCTGCATTGTTACTTTTGCCTTGAATGCACCAAAAAAAGATGTTCTTTCTCCGACTCTTAAGATAGTTGCAGTGTTTCATGACGGGAAGGGAAGTACGGGGAGATGAAGGGTAGTCTCTGCAAAAGAGAAGGGAATTCCGCACATTATTCCCAGCACTTGAAGGGTTGTGACTTGGGGTTTCCTGTCTAATTCAGTGACAGTACAGTCATCTCATACAGTAATAGTGTTTTTTATTACGCAACTTCAACCTACTGGCAAGGCTGCAATAGTGCTGCAACAGATACGTTAACTCAAAATGTCCTTTGTTCATTATCCTTTTCCCACTCTTCACATATTACTCATCTCAGTTTGTGCTATCTTCAACCTTCAGTTCTGCAAAGTTGTTGTAAAATGGTAATGCTGTGGATATTATTTTGATTATTGTTGTATAAAGTGCCAAAACAGATGGCTGCAAATCAGTACCAGTGGGAAGTATAATAATAGTCTAATAACTATAAAGAAAACCTCACTTTCTGTCTATCTCAATGTAGATGTGCTAAAATATAAATGCTTAAAAAGACACTTGGTGAAAGGTAAGCAATTAGGGGAGTCTAGGGTCAACAATTTCAGTTACATTGCTGAACAGCTGGCTTAGATTAATTGAAAATCTCTTTCAGTTTGTCATTGTTTGGCTTTTCTTTCAGACTAAATATTTAAATAGCATTTTCTGTGCCACAAATGTTTCAGAATAGTGTAGAGTAGATCTCCAGCGCTGTTTGAATTTTTAGTCTTTATTTCCTGACTGGTAGTGAACCTACCACAAATGTTTTCCAAACACTACGTCCTGTGCCACTTCCCTTTATCAATGCCTAGTAAGGACAAGGACATACAAATGTGATCCTGGTCTAATCGTAGTTAACTTGGCCCTGTGTCAATAATCCATCTGATGCTGTGTGACTGTGTGGCTCAAGACCCCATCATCGGTTCACTGAGAAACTAAACCAAAGTCACTCAGCCTCCCTCTCTCTCTCTCTCTCTCTCTCTTTCTCTCTTTCTCTCTCTCCCTCATTCTGTTTGTTCCATGCTTGTCCTCTTCTTAATGGCTCTTAATGAGAACCAGCTTGAGGGCTCTTTGAACCAACGCAATAAGCACAATTTCTGGCATTTTTCAAGCGCTCTACTGGAGGAATGCAGCACACAGCTGTTACGGAGGGTTAGGGGTGTCGGGACGCTTGCTGAGGTCAGCGTTGGGCAGGCAGTGGGGCAGGTGGGAGTTTTGCAGGTGTGGGTGTAGAGGGACAACCGCAGGATGTTTCTAGTGGCCTGCTGCAGGCCCCTGCTGATTCATCCATCTGTAGTGCGTTACTAAGGAGAATAGGGGGAAAATTGGCCAGTTTTAAGAGATGAGCTAGCCTGCCAGTGCAAGTGAAGGTCAGGCTAATGTTTTCAGTTGTTGTTATTGATGTTGTGTGTGCAAGCAGATGCCAGCATTCATACATGGGATGCTTTTGTTTAAGAACATAAGTCAAAGAACTGACATGTTGAGCATGCAGAAATACTGTCTTAGAGACAGCCCATGATTCACAGTGCTTTTTATTTCGCCATTTGTATTTAACAGGGCTCCAGGGTCAAATTCTGTTTGATTCATTATTTGCTAAGTTCTCATTTCCAGCAATTCAATTACATAACTTGCTGCCAATTTGCAGATGTGAGACAAGAAAAAACAAATTAGAACATTCTTAAGGGAATTTGTGTGACAGTGAAGGAGAAATCAACAGCTGACAGTTATTTGTAGACTATGTGATTGTTAATGCTTTATTTCATTAGTCTAATATACAGCTGAAAGCACAGGGTATCGCAGCATGAAACAGCGTGAGCCACATCCCTTTCCCTCTGCATAACCTTGGACAATAAAACAATGATGTTCTAATATTTTGTGAGGAAGTCGATATTGAGTGCCACTGCCAACACTGGCACCGTCAGCTCATTCTTAGCACAACAGCTGTTCTGAATAATAGACAAATACTAGCAAAGTGTGTGTGTGTTTGCATTTGTAAATGCAGGTGTACTCTGATGTGTGTGTGGGTTCCTACGTGCGTGTGCATGCATGTGTGCATATACATGTGTATCCATCATGTGTCAGCATGTCAGCCTGGCAGAAAGCTGTTGTGTAATTCCATTGTCTTGATTCGGTGCTACAAATAAAGGGTTCCCTGAAGACTGTCACATGTGAAGGGTTGACTTAATGAACTTGTTTTCTAACCACAATGACAAGCTGTTCAGGGAGCTCAGTGAAAAGAAGGAAATCACATATGGGACTGTGACACCTCCTGGACAGCAGGGAGATTCACAGTGTTTCCTATGTTGATCTCTGTTAGAGGGACCTCTCAACAGATACAGCTGGCTGTACACCAAGTGGAGGACACCCTGGAATCAGATATCTAAACCTCATATTTTCCCCTGTGATATTTTAACAATAGCATTTAGGGTGCAAGGTCAATGGTAAATGAAAAAATTACTTGTTCCTAAAAGAGAGGAAGGGAGCACCCACCAAAGGAGGTTGAGCAGTTGATTTAGAGGAATGCATGCAAAGACACTCATGAGGGTCTGACTCGGTTCTGACTTGTTTGACCTTTCTGGCAAAGTATCACAGCTGCTCCCCACATCGTCCCTTTCCTCCCTCTATTTCACCTTCTATCTTTCTTTCTTTTCTTCTGCGCATCCCAGACCACTTTTCATTTAACAACTTGCACTCTCAGCACCGGAAACACCCCTAGTGCTCTCACAGCGGAGAATCGCTTGCGTAAGAGGCAGGAGCATATCAACACAAAGTGATCCCACATGCATAAGACTGAAGTGATTCCAACAGTGCTTTCCATTCTGTTCTGATAGTGGCTGACGAACACCATTAATGAGATGCTGTAAATGTGCCAGTTTGTTTGCCTTTCTCTCTAAGTGCTCTGTGTGTGTGTGTTTGTGTTCAACAGGTCATTTGGACGGAGATCTCTCACCTAAGATTGAGCCACCTGACAATCCCCTCATTCTTCACAAGGATGGTTTGTTAAACCTCATATGCAGGTATGCCTCATACCTATTTATGTCAGTGCCAAGTACTTAACTACTCTTCTGCAGGAATATACTTTTAACTCCATTACATTTATTTGACAGCTTTAGTCACTAGGTACTTTACAAATTCATATTTTACATATAAAACACAATGAGCTTACAAAATATTGTATCTATTGTTACAGATTAAACTACCCAACAGCATGTAAGATATTAAAAGTGTATCTAACTCAACCAGCTACAACATTAAAATGCTCCTTTCATCAGAATGCACCAGTAACAAAAATCTATTCCATCTGATTGTATAAATCTCACAGGGGTCATTTCTCTTGATTTTACTTGATACGTCAGGTACATTTAGCTAAAAATACTTTTACTTAAACATACTACTAGGAGTTTTTAACTGGTTATGAAACTGTGTCAATTTAATACAGATGCCTCTGTACAACCTACATAAGCACACAAGACCACCAGCGAGAAGATTGTATATAGAAGTTATTTCTATATAGTTATTCTTAATGCCTGCCATCGGGTCAGATTTCCCTCGAAATCAATGAAACGAGGTGGTGGAAACACTACCGCTTTTGTCCACGTGGGCCGCCAGAATCAACAAAAGCTTAAAATTCTTTGTTGCTGCTTTAAGTAACATTTTTAATGAAGGACTTTTACTTGTAATTGGGTATTTCTACTCTTTTGTATTGATACTTTATCCACCACTGCATGTAGTCGTTGATGGATATCTGATTAGTGTGACTAAGGTAAATATCTTGTCACACAGGAATTTCCACAAATTAAACAAGTTCATGCCCCCAATTTATCTTTCCTTGTTTTTGGCCCTGTTATCAGAGGTCAGTCAGGAGGAAAGGAGTCTGTTTTCTGAACTGAAGTTTAGACTCTGGTCTTATTACACGACAGAAAGGCCAGGGGGAAAATAAAGGAGACATGCCTGGGCCCCAGGACACTTGCTGCTAACAGAAGAAGCTGGGACAATCCTTAATTGGAATCAGTGGTGGTGGTCCACATTTATCAGCCTGTTGCAATTTCCTTTAGGGATGGTGGGACCCTAGTGGGCCGCATTCACATTTATTAAGAATTTCGAGAGTCTTGCATCATTTTGTAGGCCTGCAAGGAATGTTCAGTAACGCATTTCTATCTAATGCAATGCTTCCCTACAAGGCCATATGCTAAGATGCCTGGCCCATACAGTACTGTCTTGTTTTCTGTCACTGGAGGAGAGCTGGAGGGTGCTTGACCCAAAATTCTGCAGGCAAAGGCAGTGGTATGCAAGACATGTTTGATGTTCCTCTGGGATCTCTTTAATGAGAGTTTTAAAATGGATGCGTGTGGAAAGAATGTGTTAGCTATGCACATCATTCAAGAGAAACATGTTCCCATGTGAAAGTTCAAGTTATTGGATGACTCAAGATTAACTCAAAATAAACTTAAAATAAAAATCAAGTCAAGAAGGCCCGAGGGGAGAAGCAGCCGCTGCCATCTTAAACTAAAAAGATTGTGAGTTCATTGCCAGCTGTGACACATTTCCTCAAAATAAATCAAAATTTTGGAGCTTTGTTTCCAGAAAACAGATCAACAGAAACATAATTGAGAAATATTGTCTTCACATTCATCTAATACTGTCTCTCTCTCTCTCTCTCTCTCTGTCTTCTGCCAGTGGTCACGGCCTGCTGCACTGGACACTTGCTGATTCCCGTCGATCGATCTTATCAGAGGGAGTGAAGGTGGAGAAGTGTCATTCCAGACGTCACTTTCACACTCACGTACACTGCAGCAAACTGGCAATCACACACTTGAGTGCCAATGACACAGGAAGGTACACCTGTAAATCCTCCAAAGATGGTTCAGAGCACATGACCTCGACCTATGTCTATGTCAAAGGTGAGACCTGAAAAATGCTCACACCAGTTCAGATTATGCGTTCTTTTTTACAGTCAATGAACCAGTGGGAATATGAGAGACACCGGCATTATCCCCTCCAGTCCAGAATGTAAAAAAAGTCATTTTCCAGCATGAGAAAAACTGAATGTAATGTTGTTTAGAAATACAAAGAACTGCTCTATAAACTTAAACACTGATAAGAGTTCTTTCTTTTTGAATTGAGTTGTTTTTCTTTGATCCAGGATTTAACTGTGTTTGTTTTTGTGAAAGTCATAGAAGACTCCTGATAAAAGTAAAGGTTTTCACTGGGTGATTTTATCTGCTGACGCCAGTGGAGAGTTCTGATGTTGAACTGACCCCACAAACAGTGGCACTTAATGGACAGAATGGAATAGTTAATGAGCAATCTGATATTTTACACAAGATACGAAAGTAAAAAAAGTAAATGTCCAGCGTACCAAGAAATTAAATACTGAATTAGTCAGCAAGAACAGAAGAAAGGGCAAAAAAAGAATGTTGAAAAAAAGGAAGAAAGACAGAAAGAAGGAAGGAAGGAAAGAAAAAATATGTCAGTTACTCCTACACAGTTGGTAAAGTTATTCATTACATGCAGGAAGCTGACTTTACATTTACACTGAAGGGCCACAGCTCTCGCTCTCAGAGAGAGAGGGAGAGAGGGGAAGTGATTTCTTTTGGTACTATGGTTTCTTCTGGAGGTGGAAGGGTGAGCGTGATTGCACGGGAAGCCCTGGTCATTCACTGTGATTTCCTGCTCCAGCTACTGTTTTCCTAAGTCTCCCCTCAAAGCGTCACATGGCACGAGTTATAGTTACATTATCATTCAAATACAGATTTTTCTGGGCAGCATAAGAAGAGCAAATTTTGATTGTTAAGGCAGCATCAGTCCATTTCACCGAGACGTGTATGTTTTTTAAACTTTAAAACTGTTGGTTTAAAGACATTAAATAAAGACAAAATCATCAAATATTGGTCTAAGGGACGTTAAATGGTTTTAGACTGAACTAAATGCTGGATTCACTTTGTTCCTTCTCCTGTTGCTCCTGTGAATGCGGTTCGTCTGTCTATCAGGCAGCCTGCTGTGCATGTGTTTAGTCTAATACTCTCTTTTCAAAGGCCTTCAGCTGTTTATTACATAATTTTCCATGCTTACTTTTCAAATAATAGTTCCTTTATCACACCACTACTGCTTGACCCCACACCAATCGCAGACTATTTGTGAAGCCGTGAAGTTCTCACAGTTGTCATGTGATGCCTGGTTGCCCAGTAGAAACACACCAATAACCTGATATCTCTGTCTTGTGCTCTGCCGCCGTATCCGGGTAGAATGAAGCAATCTGAGATTTTGATCTCTGTGTTGGATGCCCTGACATTGCCTTGATTCAATTGCACTCCTAAACTCTGTTCTAGCATAACAGCGTTTTCAGAGCAACAGCTGTAAAATTGGTACAAAACATGGTTCACCCAAAGGACAAAATGTAAGCGGCCACATCTGCTTTGAAATGTGATTTCTGACTGACCTATATTTTGGATATTACTTATTTTGGAGGGGGTTGTTTTTGTCCCACAGATCCCGAGCAACCATTTTTGGAGCCTCATTATCTGACACCTCACATCCTGGGTATCTACAGGCATGAAACCAGCCTTGTGGTCCCCTGCCGGACAACCTCTCCTGATACTATTGTAACACTGACAGGGGTAAGACCTTTGTCACACACACTTTCTTCACATGCCTTCCACTTGTAAGTAGTTTTATTATATACTTATTTATTTATCATATGTATTTATTTATTATATACTATATACAGTACGTATATACTATGCACTAATACTCAGTATGTGTTCCATAGACCTTGTGGAACATAGACTTTCAAGTAAATCATATAATAAAGCAAGATTGCTGTTAATAGCAGGGTGTCCTTGCTTGTTGTCTCTGGAAAAAAAAAGTGTTTTCACTTGTGCTTAAGGCGTCTCACTGGTTCTCACACCCTTTGTATGTTAAATCATTCTAGCACACAGAAACAGACACGGGACAGTGGCATGTCTGAGGGAAGCTCAGGGGCGGAGGGAGTCATTCTGTCTGCTTCCTGTAAGAGCAGGAAGGTGCTCCAAGAGTGTTTCCCTCAGAATAGACTCTCAGACTAAATTTAGACCCCTTCTCTTACAAACATCAGGAAATGCAGAAAAGAAAAACAGTACACACTGTGTCCAGTGTTAAACAGGTAACAGGTCATGAGGATTGTGTTACCAGAATGCTACAAAGTATGTCAGTGGAAGAGAGCTCTGTCAGTGACTCCTTCAGTTCTGTTATTGGCACAATGTTTGTGTTGCCTTGCCAACCACAAAGGTGTGTGCTTTTTGTCAAATATGTTGCACTGATATACGACCATGTGACTCAGTGCCTACTCTGGGCAAACACATCTGACTCAGATGGAAGAGATAGTGGTTGTGTGACCTTCCTGCTACTGGTAAATCTATGGCACTCCTCCTTCCTGCTCCCCTTCCTTCCTTCCCTTCCCTTGCCTCCTCTCCCAGTACAACTTCTGGCATAAGAACAAACATCAGCAGGCACGTACATCCGTTTCCGAGTTCGCAATGTTTTGTGCTCCATTGCACAAATGATTGCAGAGGTTCCACTCCACAAGACAATAAAAAAAAAACTAACTAGACTTTCTGTCCACAGCTGAGCCCAGTAGAGCATGAGATACATGTTAAATGAAGTTGAGTGCATTACACTTCAGTCTGTCTGGCTCACTGATCAGTGTCACCAAATGGGCACTGACAAAACATCTCTGCTCTACTCTCTTTCATTACAGCTCCCACCTTTATCAGACAAGATTGTTAACGAAATGGTATGGGATTCAAAGGTGGGATTCAGGATTCCCTACGGTCCCTACACTTCGTATTCAATGCTCACCTGTAACACCATGGTCAAAGGTTCTGAGCACAAGTCAATGTACATCCCTATGAGACCGAGTGAGTCTGTTGTCTTTCTGGCCAAACTTGCTTATTAAAGAAATGTTAATTTCTCTGCTCCTTCAGTATTTCAGTCTTCTTATAGCTCTCTCCATTTTACAGCCTTTGTTCTTAATAATGTGAAGATCACCCCAGATCGTGTCAGATTGTTGGTTGGAGACACCCTCATTCTCAACTGTACTGGTGAGACCACCTATAATGGAAGAATCAACTTTACATGGGATTTTCCAAGGAAGAATGTAAGTTAAGGATTTACTGTTGACGCTGTCCTACTGTATGTAAAAGGGACCCTCACTTGTTGTAGCAATGGAGTTCAAGGTACTTCCTTTGTCTTCAGGAAAATCGACATTATACAAACAAAACCAAAAACAACCCTGCCATGGTTTTTCTGATGAGCAAGGCTTTAGTCTTGCCAAACATTACCATGGAGGATAAGGGGGTGTACCGCTGCAAAGCTGAGACTGAACCCACTAAACACAAGAATGCGTCTGCAAAAGTCCTCGTCTTTGGTGAGTACGCTTTGGATGAGCTCTGAAGTGTATTACACACTATGAAAATACAAATATATGATCACACATAGAAAGAATTTTAACATCTAAATCATCAACATCACAGTATGATGGTGACTGTTGTTTTCCTCTGGCATGGACTCCAATGTCTGTCATTAATCTTTTGTTCCAGAGCATCCATTCCTCAATGTCTCCTATAAGCATGAGAGGCCTAGTACAGTGACTGTCAAAGAAGGTAGAAAGAAATTTGTGTTTGACCCCAAGGTCAACGCTCTGCCACCAGTAGACATGGTAGCATGGTAAGTAATGGTTCAGACTATGTATTTAGTGTATGTGCACCTACATAAAATGCTGTGGCAAACCCTGAATTACTAACCTAATTATTACCTTTGTGAGTCAACTTCTCATTCACTTCTTTTCTTTATCATTGTATAGCCATGGTTAAAAAAAAAAACGTTTCCATGCCTCCAATTTGTAGGTATAAGGATGGCGTCTCTATCAAGAAGAATTCCACCTGTTACAAGATGTCTGGTTTCAGCTTGATCATCAGTGATGTGCAAGATCAGCATGCTGGGGTCTACACCATAAGCGTGGGCAACCAAGTAAAGGGCTTGTACAGGAATCTGAGCTACACTCTGGTAGTCAACGGTAAGCTGTTGCCATAAACCTGATAATGACTACTGATCCTTAGGAAATGAAGCAGTGCCTTGACTGTGGACTGAGGTTGCCTCAGCACTCTGGCTGCTTTCAGTACAGTTCACTGGACGGCAGGTAGCAGCTCTAGTATGAGAGGAATTTGGGGGCTTGTTGGTTCCAGGGCTGGATTGACGTAGCAGGGGCAGCTGTTGTTGATTATTGGGGCTCTTTTGAAGGGGCTTGGTGCAGTGTGGCCTGTGCTCTATTCTGCACGCAGACTCCAGCCGTTCCAGACCCCCGCTAGTCCCCAGCATTTATTTGCATCCTCACCATGTGTATATACAGTGCAGCTCATATAAACAGCAAATGTTCTATACAATATGTATACAGCTTGACGAAAACAAGGACAGAGTGTGTAATTCATTGTTATGATGACTTTGGAAAGAACACTGATAACTGTTAACACCAGAGGTTATAAATGTTTTAGCGTGTTAGGTCTAAACTTTGTCTGCTTACTATAGAGAACAGAGAAGTGTATCAGTTACTTTAAGCTTACCATGGGGGGGGCAGAGCTATTTTCATTGCATTCTTTAAACATTATCTAGGAATCCAAATAGCGTGCCAAAAAGTGGAAAAATCAACCCCCTTCTGGCTTGTATAAGCTTTATTTATGGTCCTTGACTATCCTGCTTCACAAAACTTAAATTTATTGGAATGTCAAAAAATAAAACACACACACACACACAAACAAACAAAGTGAAGAGAGATTGCTGGTATCAATTAGGGAACTACTTTAAACTTTGTTCATCAGTTGTTTAGAGTTGTCACAGTGCTCCAGATTATGAATGTGTTTTCAGTGTGTGTGTGTGTGTGTGTGTGTGTGTGTGTGTGTGTGTGTGTGTGTGGTTTTCCAAGCCTTGTGACTCTGTGTAGCTCGACTATTTCAGCTGTTCAAAATGGAGAGAATGGCAAAGTAATATGGACTGCCTCTTGAGGTGGCACAAAGATCTTTGTCTGTTGTTGATTGCAGCACAACAGTTGATTTGCTGACCTAGACATGGGCCACAGTGGGGTCGTTCTTTGACCTACAGCCCCTGGCTAGCCAATCATCCTGCCATTCCTCTCTTACACAGTGTCTAAAGGACAACTGGTGTCAATGGCATCCTTTTCATGGCTATCCATCATGACTGTCACCCCTCATTATAAAGACATTATGAGATTCCACAGTGGGCTGGGTTGAGGTGGCGGGTGGTTGATCTAACCTGTTGTCTCTTTCTCTCTCTCCCTTTATGTCTCTTTCTTTATCTTTCTCTCCCTGTATTTTTGTGTGCATGTGCACTTATTTCTCACAGTGAAGCCAACTATTTCAGAGGCAGAGCTCCCCTCTGTGGACGGGCAGCACTACATGTTTGACAAGCAACATCAGCTAACCTGCACTGCTTATGGGTTGCCCTTGCCAACCATCACTTGGCTCTGGCAGCCATGTCACTCAGGCTCCACACTCAAAAAGTGAGTCACCACCTCCTTATGTTGCAAGCATCAAAATGTTTAAACTGGATTTTCTTTGTTCATGCTCTGTTAACTTCCTCCGGTCTTGAAGAATTAAAAGCGTATCGTAGGGGAACTTTTCCTGATTTTAAGCACAAATTTTATCAGTCATGAACACCCCCACAACTTGATTCAAAATCAGTTACATACCACAAGCTACCATGTAGAGGTCCTGCATTGGGCGTGGTGTTTCACTCAGTTACCCGTTGTGTCAGGTTACTCTTAACTCCTAAAGTTTCTCTTTGTCCAAAAACCGTTTCAAACTGTTTTTAGCAACATAGACAAAGGGAATATACGTCATTCTCTGCTCAGGACGCCATGACTCCACTATATATTTACATAGCAAATAGTTGTTTGCTGCTACATTAATGTTTTAAATCTCATATTAAACATTTAACAGTAAGGACTATAGGTTTCAGAGCCACCAGTCCATCCCGGGGATCCCACTATAAAACAGATCTACATTTACTGAATTTTCTCTGGCCCAGAATATGACACATTAATCAAAGAAACAGCACTGAATGTATGAGTGACTGTGCAGGAATACCAGCCTGCTAGTGAACCCACAAACACGATGAACATTCCCTGAGATCCTGGCTCGTCAGTGACAGCAGGAGACCTGCAAGTCGTAAGATCAGGAAAACAATGGGCCATTACCCTTGGGTTATCAGGCCCCAACACCATTAACAAAAACAACACTGGACTGCTGCACAAGAACGAAACTACATTTTTTTTACATGTTTCATGGTGGTAATTCCCCAGTGCCTCCATTATTATATTCATTAAATTATCTCAAACACCTACATGTACTTGATTTATGATAAATAATAGCAGACCGTTAGTTGGGTCAAAGCCATTCTTCCTACAAGTCTAAAGATAATCAGGGCTGGCACTAGGAACAGTGGCTGGGCTGTAGCAGGCAGCTAATGAGACAGAGGAACAGCTATAGCCTGGTGGGAGGCCAATTGTGGAAAATGTTTGTTTTATACAGCCCTGACCCTGTAAAGTACCTGTCACTGTAAATTCAACATGTAGTCCTTCAAGATCATATCTCATCTAAATCTCTGGAAGTTTGGAGAGGAGGGGTGTTTGGAGGGTTTAAGGATGAGGGAAGCTTGCTATGTTGCATGTGCAATGAGGAAGATAGTGTAAGGGGCAGAAATATGGGGGTGTCTTTATCTCCAGGTTGAGAAGTTATCAGCTGTCCCTTGTTGACCGCCAAGGTCTTAGGATCAACCTTATCTCCTCTGGCCAGAACGTGTGGGGGGGTTTCCTGTACGAGGTGACGCACAGCACAGCCCTTCCTGTCGCTGTAGCTGTTTCCTCCACTCTGCCTCTCCTCTCATCAGGCTGATTGTTCCCCACCACAGGCGGTGAAGGGTTTGGGGGTGGGGGTCAAATCAAGGCTTTCTCTAGGTTTTATAACCTAGACAGGCTGATCTAGACCTGGACTTTACCCAGTCAAATCAGTCTTTTAAAATACCTTCAGCCTTTCAGAATTAGGGCTTACACAATATGATCTCAAATTGTACATAAGTTCCCCAGTTAGAAACTCATGAAAGTCTGCTTTTCTTCCGTGTTATATTGTTTAAGGTCCAACACATGTACATCTGTCTCTACACATACTGACAGCACAACTAGGTAGTCAGTTTTATGCTAATTTTCTGTCTTGCAGTTGCACTGCTTACACCAAGCCAATCCAGGTCTACGTCGATGACAAGGGAAATTACTCCCACAACTCGATTAAGAGCATAAACGTCAAGCCTGAACTGGTTAAAGGAAAAAACAAGGTATGTGGTTTATTTTTGTGTGTACCATTTCCACTTGTTGTTTAAACAACTGATGCAATTTTAGCATTTTGTTCACTGTGAAATGTGGTTGACAAATAACAATAAGCAACTTAACAGTAGGATTTATATGGGAACTGAATCAAAAAGATGTCCAGAGATCCACAGTATATAGCTCGATCAGATTCAGCTAGAACTCTCCCGTGTCTGCGGCTTGAAAGTCAGATTCAACATCTGAAATCCATAACTCCTCACAATTTTCCTCCTATTGGCAGTGATGCAGTTCTTCTCTTCACTGAAAATGATTCATTTTATCTGCATTAGTTTTGACTTGTGTAACTGTGACCAAAAACCATGAACAGGTCCTCAGCAGTCCATTTCTAAAGAAATCCTTTTTGTTTTTCAGTGCTGCACTTAAAAAGGCTTGATTTATTCTTGGAATAAACAACCAGGAAATAACAGGAAAATCACTTGGTTTCACACATATGATGTGTTGCAAGGAAGATGCTATATTGATAAATACTATACATTTGCAACATAGAATATAGAGCTAACATACTAACATAACTGCATCGGTTTTCCTTTGGTACAAAGGCCTTCCTATAAGGAGCAAGAGCTCTACCCGTGTGTTCCTGCCCTTTGAGCCCCACACTTATGAAATGGTGCACCCTTAACTAAAATGATACAATTCATTTACCCTTACTGAGTGAAATACCCCTTAATTTCACAGTTTTTTCATTCATGTGAGGAAGATTTGTAAATAAAGCAGCTGCAGCTTCATCTTGGGCCTAGCCAAAGACACTTCTTTTATTCTGACATAAGTTTCGGCTATTGGGACTCTTAGAGCTAATCCTTATAAATATGGCTTAAGCCATGCATGTGAGCAGATTTAGCTGTCTTACACCTCAAAATATTGTTGTCTGCCAAGTCAAAACTCATACATCAATGTGGGGTCTACTGAGTATGTCAACTTTACTTTGAAACTTGCAAACCCCCAAAACGTGCCACACAATGTGGAAAATGTAGACATTTCTGCGAATGTCCTGTGGGAGCCTGTCACTAAACCTGTTCACCCCAAACATAATTAAGAGCAGGTCTCCACTGCCTTGCGAGAGACTGTCTATAGGATTAGGTTAAACCCGTAACAGCTGTCTGGGTCAAATTAGGGCACAAATTCACTGGCATTCAGGTTTTCAGCAGGAGAATCATTCTCAATCCAAACTTTTTTGTTAGCTGTTTTTGGCTGTGTTTCTTGTGCATGACTAGGGGATTTATTGACTTCTGCTCTCAGATTAAACACGGGAAGAAGATTATAACAATTCCTCGCTCACCAAGTAATTCTAACTTTGGGCTTTTTCACAGGGCATCAGTTCTAATATGTCTCTGACATAAATAGGGAGGCACCACTTATTTACAAGTACTTGTGGCCAAACGCTGGTGCTTTATGAGGGTTAGGACTAAGGGTCAATGATAACAAGCAGCAGTTTAAAAGAAGAGGGATTTGTTGGAAGTGAATTCCTCTCTGTCACCCCACATAAATCGTGTTGGCCCGTGAATAAGAACGTAGTCAGGGCCGGGCCTCTGAGTGGCTCCCCAGAAGGCCCAGTAGAGAGGGAGAGTGGCCCGGGTCATAATGTAAGGAAAACACAGGGGGAAGACATGGGCACAGAGGTCACAGTGCGTCTGGTCAGGTCACTTCTTAGGGACTGTGCGTAATCGTTTAAATGACTGTTTTCGAGCTCAGGTTACATTATAGTGAGTAATAGCCGTAACATAATACGGTAAGGCCACTCCATCAGTGTTTTGACAAATGTCAGAGCAGCATGAATTGGACAATATGATATTACTTTTTAGAAATGTTTTTGACTGCCTGAATGTTTGTGTGGTGAACGTTGTTAGTACAGGGACGCTGAAATTGTTGCATGGCTACAGCTGTGTGTCTGAGAGTCAACACAATAGCTCCTACAAGCCCAGGAAGTTTTGTCCAGCATACACTCAGACAATACGCCCACATCATTCACTCTGTTTGATGTAGCTGACTGCCCCCAAAAAACAGATGTCACTATGAACGCTAAGCAGAACCCCATGTAGTCTGGCTCTCACCCAAGTCTCACTTATTATTTTGTCTATTCAAGCCATTAAAAAGTTGTACTGCTGCAGTGACAAAATCAAGTGTGGCATTAGAAGTGCTTTCCAGGAAATGGACATGGAGCCGCAGCAATAGATCTATAGCACAGGTCTGAAGGAGACTCAGCGGGTTCTAAACTCCAGATGTATCCTTTCATTAATGTGACACACTGGAGAGTATAAAACAGACCAGGCTTGGTCCAGACCTCTCAGACTTCATCCTGTTAACAGCAACTTACTGCTCTGATGGTGATTGAAATCCTAAGTATAAATCACACTGAAAGTCACAGTGAAGTCAATTGTGATATTAAGCTTTTGTTGTTTCTCTCAACCTGTTTTATTCTGCTTTGAATAATCACTACTAGTTGTCTTATTGATCCCAATTAGACTGTGAGTACCCTGGTGATTGAAAAGGCTAGCGTATCAGGAAATTACACCTGCGTGGCCCAGAATGAAGTTGGCAGCAGCACAATGGCAGTCCCGTTCTACGTTGACGGTAAGTGGGTCACCAGAATACGACAGCTGAAATATCAATTTCAAGCTTATTGCAATAAGTGCAAAGCATACTATACTGTGCACTGGATTCTCTCAAATGATCTACACACACAGTTCACGCTGTAATGAATTGCAAGAACAGAGAAGGAATGTGCAGATTGTATTGTGCAATAAAGAAACCAGAGGGGGGCATTAATTGAAACCATCTTCCACTGTAGCTAAACGGCTTCAGGGCGGAAGAGAAGCAAACATGTCCTGAGCCATATGGAGTGCTATAATGGCACGCGTTTGAAAACAGCTATGAATAACTGCATTCCTGCTCCGCTGCCAGCAGGTCATTCCTCTTTCTCTGTGAGCCTTCTGCTATGAGAATTTACTTCTTTGTGTGCCGCTGAGCATTTCCAAATGTTCCCAAAATGAATATCCATTGAGACAGTTATGTAATTATAGCGGGGATGAGGTGTCACTGCACACAAGCAGAGTTCACTTTGCAACCAAGTGAATCACATTTCCTTTAACACTGAGTGAATCACATCCCCTGAAGGGTGAAGGGTTAGGGTTTTGGAGAGGGATGGATGTAGGTGAACCAGTAATTGAGGGGATGCCAAGTACCAAAAATTAGTCTCCCAGCGTGGGAGAATTCCTGAGAGGAATGGTGCTCTCTTCCAGAGGTGAGGAAGACGAAGAATGAAGGAATGCTGCTAGAAAAGAGGACAGAATTGTAATAACAGCTGTCCTCTCTTACGGAACACAGAATGCTTTCCAGCAATCTGAATAAACAAGCACAGTTCGGTTCCCCTGGGGCCTAGACTTAGCTTCTCTCAAACTGGATGAGTGCAAGAGCGCCATCAGCGATGCTGTCCACCAGCAACATGCTTCCAATTAACAGTGATGAAACAGGAAATAACTGCAAATTTGACATTCCTGGCCTTGCGACGAGCAGCTTTGTGTCCAAAACTATTCAAATTCCAAAATAGGATCTCGGGTCAGCAAGATAAGTGTCTCTGTTCATGCATGTAAAACAGATGACATGGTCTCTTCTCTTTGTCACACTAGATCAACCCGAGGAATTTACCATTGAACCCCGAACTGCCATCGAGGGGTATGACGTCAATCTGACCTGTCGTGCAGCTCGCTTCCTCTACACAGACCTACAGTGGTTAGATTCATTGAATCAAACAATCACTTCCAACGTGTCCAGTCTCCACCTCGGCCCCTACTCCATTTCTCTTTCTCTCCACCTGCATAATGTGTCCCAAAACAGCACGACAGGTTACAAGTGCCAAGCATACAAGTTCCACAAGAGGATTGAACTCAAAAAGGTTGCGCTTACTGTAGATGGTAAGTTAGAGGAGGATATGAGAAACTGATTGCATTTCTAATGTGAAAAACTGTTACTGATTGCAACACCATTTCCATTATTTATATCTATTTCGAAATAGTCAACTGATGTACCATGATAAAAATAGTCAACTGATGTACCATGATAAAAATAGTAATTCGTTGAAAGTCAGTTTGACTTTTCTGTGTTCCTTTAACAAGACAGTAATAATGCAACTGCAGGTCTAATTCAAACCATTTCTTCTTTCGTTTTTGCTGCAGCGAGAAAACGCCCCTGGCTGAGTCAAAACCTGACTAATCAGGATGTGAACAGTAGCAGCACACTTATGCTGGCTTGTTTCGCTCTCGGAGTTCCTCGTCCCTCCATCATATGGTACAAAAATGGCGTTCCAGTGAAAGAAAGCACAGGTAACCTGAGAATAGTAATCTCTGTGCAATTTTTGCAATTTTGGTGGCATAAGTGCAAGCCTGGCACAACGCTGCACAAACTGGATGAAGAGCTGGAAGAGAATGAATACATTTTGTTATTAGCTACAGAATCAGCAGGTGAAGTCACTTTGAAAGCCGCCGACAGTTTCCTAATGGGTCATTGGCCAGACCAACGTTTCTTCAGAGAAAACCAAAAAATCATAGCAGAAGTAAATGACATATTTGAATCAGAGTGCATATGATGTCCTGGATTTACAATTCCAAGGCACTAAAGTTCCTGTCTATGCATAGTTATTAGTGCAAAGTTGAGACAAGACATTGGTGCAGATAGGCAGCAATTGCAATTACTTGTAGTATAGTAAAATGCATTTACATTATTAGAATATGTTGACAAAGTTGCATTCACATAGTCATATTTGCATTTACATGCACATAATAACGTCGCCACTTCAAATACTGTGAGAAAATAAATATGTTGAATCCCACAGAAATAATATTTCTGGCCAGTGGTGTTTGGTCTGCTTGTTTTCTCAAAGAGTGCGGTTAAAGTGGTTTAGTTTTCAACCACAATTTTTACAAGCCCAAGTGCCTGAAGAAAATAGCATTTCATCTATTTACACCACTGCCAGCCTGAGTATGAAGTGTCAAATGCCACATCAGTTTGACTGAGAGGTTGTGTGTTGCAGGTATCTCACTGGGAGAGGACGGGGTTCTGACCGTCGAGAGGGTAAAGAAAGATGATGAGGGTCTGTACGAGTGTATAGCCAGCAACGACGAAGGTATTGCGAAAACAAGTGCTGTTGTTACTGTGGTTGGTAAGTCAATCAAACACCTTCAGATATTAAATATCTAACCATCAAAAAGATCAAAACTCCGACCTGCTGCATTTACAATACTGGGTTCTCAGTGTGAATTAATGTATACTGCAGTCAGTCTGGCTACAGATCACACCAAATACACTTATCATCACCGCATTTTCTGCATTTCCAATCAAAACGTCTCAGTCCCTCTTGACCTCGTGTGTTCTTGTCACCACTACAAATAGCTGTGGTCTGACTTCAGAATGAAAAGTCTCCCCTGACAGAAAATCCATGGCTGCCAGGAATGCCTACTGAATTCCTTCATGGGTTTTATGATCAAGGCTCTGGCTGAGGGTCCTTACCTTGAGGACATGACCTCTGTGAAGTGTTAAGAGGTCCACTAATGAGTGCAAAGAGATTGACTGCTACAACAGCTAAGGGACTGGAAACACCGTAGATAATTGGAGTAGAAGGCCTGTTAACGTGTGTGTGCCTGTGTACTTTTACATGTAAAATCAATGGCACATTGACATGTGACGGTGAGGATGGTAATGTAGGTGAGATATTTTCCAAACGGCACTTAAATAGATTCTTATTAAAGTGAAACTTGAATTTCTCTTCATGAACAACTTCAGAGTTATTGCTATCCATTCCATTTTTACCACAAAGATATTTCAGCAACAAACTGTATGCATGTTCTGCTTTGACTGTTTAGTCAATGATCACATGAAATAAGAGCTGGAAAAACTGTGTGCAAACTAACATCAAAGGATATTAGTTTTCAGAGTGTCGACATGGATGGTTAGAAAAACAGTGTTTGGAAGAAAACACTATAGGAAAAAGTGCGGTATGCATGTTCCAAACAAACAAGAAATAAACACCAGTGTGTGTTTCCACTCTCTTTTTGTATACAGTCTCTCCGAGAAATAAAAGAATAATAAAATTCGGCATCTCCAGTCAAACAGGCTCTCTGTTTGCAAATTTGTAACAGATTGTTTCCTTTTGATCACAATTCTTCACAAATTCCTGTGAATGTAATACGACAACTTATGAGATCATGAAAAGTACACAGTGATTTCTTGCCAGAGTGGTCTGGTAGTTTACGACAGTTCTTCTCTTTCCAGGGGATGAAGGGAAGCCAAACGTTGAGGTAATCATCTTGGTGTGCACAGGAGCTGCAGCCACGTTCCTCTGGCTCATGCTTATCCTCTTCATCCGCAAGCTAAGGAAGGTAAGGCGTTACATCACTTTCTTTTTCTCAGAAACCGCATGAGATCAGCATTTGCCAAGATGTGAGAAGTTCAAACAGTCAAATAAATGACAACGTATTTGTGAAATTTTTACTAATTTTGTTTCAACTCATTTGGATCCAATGGTTTACAGAACAGCTGACTCATGTCCCTTGTGAAATACAGTTTAATGGAAGGATAAATTTAGCCAGTGTTTATGATTGCCACATTTCCTGACAATTGGGATGCCCATGTTTGCAAGGCCTAAAAGGAGAACATAGTGTGCTCATGCACAAAGGGACACAGTTTCAACTTCAAGAATTTCAAGTCATGTCAAACTTTTCTCTACTTGATAGTGTAAAATGAAATATAAGTTCAAAACATGCCATGGTGGTTGTCATTGTCTTTCTCTATGATAATCAGGAAATTCATATTTGTCCTCTGACACTTTCAGCAACCAGCACACTATAAGATGGGTCCGTCTATCATCATTGATCCTGATGAATGTCCCCTTGATGAGCAGAATGATCTTCTTCAGTATGACAGCAGCAAATGGGAGTTTCCCCGAGACCGCCTGCGACTAGGTGAGCACTGTGCAGTCCGATGAATGTGTGGAAAGAGTTTGAAAGAGTTTCAAGCAGTAATCAGGCACCAACTTTAGACACAGTTATTTCACCTCACCTGAATCCAAATTTAGGCTTTATGCATCATTCAGGATTCTTATAAAACTGAAATACACAACTTTAACAAAGGATCAATAAAGTATTGTGATTTCTGCACGTAGTGAAATTATGTTGACACTGATCACAGTGTGTGACATCTCTGGTCTGAGCATATTGCATTGGTATTTCCAGCAGAAACAAATGACCTGCTACTACCCAGGGCAATAAGACTGAAAATACAGTGAGATGACAAAATGACAAAATAATGCTATTTTAAAACATCTTTTTAAAAGTGAGTCTTTGTAAGGACATACGGCCATATTAAGGTACAGGGAACAGGTGTCACCCCTCATTACTTATCAGCGACCTGTGCTGTCATCCAGTCTTAAGTGAGCCGTTAATTTTCTAGAAAAACTGCCTGGTGATCAGAGCCCCAGCATGTTGTTTTAATTACAGACCCATTGCCTGACTGACAGGGAATCCAGTCTGGTTTTCTGCCCAAGGGAGAGGAAGCTCTAATGTTGTCCCACTTACCAAATACCTTCTTCCTCTGCCAGGCAAAACTCTTGGCCACGGAGCTTTTGGAAAAGTGGTGGAGGCCGCTGCTTTTGGGATCGACAAACTCTCAACCTGCAAGACTGTTGCTGTGAAAATGCTGAAAGGTAGGGTGTCAAAACTCTGTTAGTTTTTATACAGTGACTTTTTATTACTGGAAAATAAAATGTATATACAAAACCTCTAGGTCTTTTTCACGTAACTGTAGACCCCTCTGGTTCACCCCAGAGGTACCACCACTCATGATTGACAGGGTAGCATTAACACTGTATCCACTGTTGTGTGGGTATCAGATGAATAACAGCTAACTGTCATTTCTGCAGAAGATTTATTTCTTGTACACATTACAGACTCATGAGCTACAGCACCACATGTGCCTGCAATTAATGTTTGTATGGTGCAGCGGTTCAAAGCAAAGCATGCAATGTCTGTTCCTCGCAAAGTGCAGTTGGAGGTAAGAGCTAAGACCTCTAACCCCGTCCTTGATGAAGAGATTGAGTGTATGCAGATCTGACAGCTTGGATCAGAATGTCCAAAATCTGCAGGTGAAGAAGAGTTCAAAAGCGTAAAATCTGAGTACAAAAATAAGCAATAAAAAATATGTTTATATTTGACACATTTTAGAGATTCTTACATTTGGAAACTATCCTCCGTCTCCGGTCTTGATTTTTAGGAGGAGTTATGTACAATCTCATTCCAAAGTTTCTCCAAATATTCACAGCAAACCCATAAATGCTTTGCTTTTTCATTCACCACAGTTTTATGTGTGAAAGACATCTATTTTTCAAACCAATCTTGCTTTTTTACATTACTAGAGAAGCAAACTGCAGACCCATCAGTGATTGCTGATGTGGGGATGATGTATCAGTAACGATGAAAAATAGGGCCGTTGGTTGGACTTAGTGGCCACTGTCATACCATTTATCATGTCTCAGCATAAATCACAGGCTCTCTGAGAGGAACAGACTCTGGCTGTTGTTAGTCGTAGGTCAAACTTAATGGAAAGCAGCAGGTCTTTTCAAATTGACCGTGGTTTAGTTAGAGACTCCCTGGCTGCTTTAGCTTCTAGCTCATAAATATCTGGTTGGCCGAAGCGAAGCAACATAAAGCAACCTCTAAATCTTGATTTTCATAATTCAAGGTGAAGATCAAGTATAATGTGAGCAACTCCCGTTTTTGTTTCTCTAATTTTGTTGCCATTTATCTTCAGGATGTCTTCCATCAAAAGCTGTTTCATATTGCTGGGCCTAAAGCAATAATATTATCTTTCCATCATATTTAATGAACTCACAAAATTAAATTCCCCAGTAATCCAGCCATCAGGGTTCAGGCTTTTTTTTCCAGATTTCCCTCTATACTATAAACAGAATTTTCGTCTTGAGATGTAAGACAAGGCGGGAAAAAATATTATGAATGTTCAGATTTTATATGTAGACATTTTGGTATAAACATGTCATATATTATTGTCACACTGCACATGATTTTAGTTGATATCATAAACAAAAGTAAAGGTCCAGTGTGTAACATTGAGGAGGACAGAAATTGAAAGAAATGGACAATAACATTCATGTTTTCATTTGTGTATAATCCCCTAAAAATAGAAGAATCTGTCTCACTCACTCCAAGCTGTTGAACCTTACGCATGAAGTACAATCGTTGTTATAGTTTTATTAGTCCCCGTGCATCCAAAAGTTGTGTTTCCAGCTGCAAAAGACTGTTTGTCAGTTTACAGAAAAACAGAAAAGTTTCACTGGGAATCTTGTATTATTGAAAACAAATCTGGATACAGTTGAAAAGAATTTCATTAAACTTAAAGAAAACTCCATGCTCTATTTTAGTCGAGGTCAAAATGTTCACCACTATTGAATTATTGATTTCATGTTGCGTGTCTTGAGTGTCAAGTTTGTGCCCTCCTGTGTATGAAAATAACTTTCAGTATGAGATCAGACCTGCATGGACTTCTTTTTCATAATGTTATCTTTGTATATGATCGTAACTGAATTTTCTTGTGTCATGGGCTCATTTTGTTTAAGGAAAATGTCTTGTCTTCCATCTTTACTTCATAACAGTGAAAATCTGTTTTGGATTTGGATTCCAAGCATACTTGAACCTAACATAGCTAGAGTGATCTTAAAGCAAAATAAAGGACATAAAATTAAAATCAAATTTATTGTATGTCCTTTTAGTCAGGGAGTTTAAAGAGACACCAACCAATGCTGACTAAGTTCTGTATGTGTTTACACTATTACAGGAGGCGCTACGTCAAATGAGCGGAAAGCTCTGATGTCAGAGTTAAAGATCTTGATCCACATTGGCAATCACCTGAATGTGGTCAACCTGCTTGGTGCCTGCACAAAACCTGGAGGTGAGCTTTATTACTTAAATATAATCCTATTGTTTGATATTTGGGTTTAGACAAATTAAAAAAAAGACTTTAAAGTAGTTTTTGATTGTCTGTTAAATTGTCAGTTTGAAAATTTAAATGTGTATCATTTCTAACTTTCTGGCCTTTCTTTATTGTGAACTATCACACACAGTAGGAATAATCATAAGAAATGTACAATCTTAACAGGCCCATTGATGATGATAGTGGAGTTCTGCAAATATGGCAACTTGTCCTACTATTTGAGAAGCAAGAGAGACGACTTTATCGTCTACAAGGTGAGTCACAAGCTGCATGATTTAAACTTTCAACCACTCTTTCTTTCTCATTATTCTGTCTATGAGCAGCATAAGCAGGGAGAGACTGTTATGATATAGGAAAGCCCCATGCATGTCAACAGCAGTGTTTAACCTCATCTCATTTAACACGATATGTGTGTGTGTGCTGGTCAGAGCCAGGATGGTAAGGTGGTATCGTCAGGATCGGGCTGCGAGCTAAGCGAGCTGATGAAGCGCCGCCTGGAGAGCGTGGCCAGCACCGGAAGCTCAGCCAGTTCTGGCTTCATCGAAGATAAGAGCTACTGCGACTCAGAGGAAGAGGAAGAAGGTAAAGGCCAAGCACGTCTTGCTTCCCTTCAACCCCCTTGCACCCCTCCCCCTCTCTCTGTTTGTCCCTCCTGCTGTCTTCCTCCTCTCACCTCTGCTCCACCCCTCCTGCCCAGGAATGAAAGCTCTCCTCAGATTGTTTTCTAGCCCGGGTCTGATGGGACGTTTCCTCCTCCTGTTCAGCAGTACAATCACTACAGCAGGAGCCACTGTCACCCCACTGAGTCTGGGGAGGCGTCTGTTTATTTCCTGTCCTGACCTGAGAGTTGCTCTGCTCTCGGGCTTCAGCTCAGGCACGGCACGTCAGCCCTGTTGTCCCTGATGTGTTATTTCTGGTTTGATTAGCTGTTTACTCAGGTGGGCCAGTGGAAGGATCCTTGTGAGTTCCTCCGTCAGACCTCCGACCAGCACGCTGGGCCAATAATCACACATTTCACCTGACATCTGAAAGAAAAGGGGGAATTGTAGTATGTTTTTATCCCTCGTCTGTAAAGGATGTTTTAAAGACAGAGTGTGTAGGAGGAGGCACACATGTGACAGGACAGATTGTTAAGATGGCGTGTTTTAGTCCGAGGCTTTACATTTGCAGTTTCTCCATGAGAATCGTTACTGTTTGATCTTATCTGATTTATCTGGCAGGCGTAGACTGCATTTAAAAACTAGATGAGGAGGATTATTCTCCTAAATTCAAAGGCCATGTACATCCGATTTGATAAATCAGTCTCACTGGGAAAGTTTTATGTTCTTTTGTTTCGCAGAATCTGAGGATTTATATAAGAGAGTCCTGACATTGGAAGATTTAATTTGCTACAGTTTCCAGGTTGCAAAAGGCATGGAGTTCTTGGCTTCACGCAAGGTAGGAATTGTTCTATTTTTTTTGTTTAAAGACCATGTTATATTGACCTGTTGAGTATAGTGAAGGATCACAGTTGTTTAACTGGTGTATTTAAACCAGAAAAGTGAACAATGTCCAAGTGGAAGCAAACGGATTTACACAGAAACTACTCTTAAGAGTTGTTAAATGTTTTGCAGTTGCAGTTCATGCAGGAAGTTTCTGTGAATAAATACAGCAAACAAGAACTTAAAATGTTTGCCTTCTCTTAAATTTAATTGTAGATTATTTTGCTTTTACTGTGACTTCAGTCAACCATTAATTTGTTTGTTGTATAATCTCGTTCCCTGTTACTACAATCTTCCATCTAGAACTCAATCATTTTTCAAGTCATTCATAATTTCGGGGCAGTCGGATGGGACTGATTAGAGAATGGAGCCATTGTTGTAAATAACCTGTTACAGGCCATTTCTTAGCCTGGATATGGAACACATCATCTCCTATTGTAATATCACTGATGACTTGACCATGTGTTTCTCTGCCAGCAGCCATGTTTTATAGCACGTAGAGTACAACTGAAGTCAATTACATGCAGAAAACTTAATGTTGTATTGAATAAGATTTTGTCTCTTTCCTTTTTTGAATTAGTGCATCCATCGTGATTTGGCTGCACGGAACATCCTGCTTTCTGAGAATAATGTTGTGAAGATTTGTGATTTTGGACTTGCCAGGGACATCTACAAAGACCCGGATTATGTGCGCAAAGGAGACGTAAGTTAATTAAAGTCTAGAATTGTTTTTCAGCCGTCTGGTATTTACTGTCTTCCAGACAAAATGCTAATTTCTATTAATATAAAATATGCAAATCAGTTAGCTACCACTGACTTGACAGAAAAAAGGAGGACTGAATAAATTCTGCGGTTCTTGGAAGTGTGACAGAAAAGAACTGAGAGCAGTGTGTTTATTTAAATACTAGAGAAAGAGAATCTGCTGAGGAGACAAAGTTAGGCTTAGCTTAATCAAAAACAGCATCTGTTTACAGTTTAAACTACCCTGTTTTCCCAGATGTGACAGTGTAATTAGTTAGATGTCCTCACAGGTGAGATAAGGAAGTAAGTTATTATTTTTTTTTATCTCAACACCTATACAGGCTAGACTGCCGCTGAAGTGGATGGCACCTGAGGCCATCTTTGACAAGATCTACACGACTCAGAGTGACGTTTGGTCCTTTGGTGTTCTCATGTGGGAGATTTTCTCTCTGGGTAAGTGTTGTTGAATACTTAGCAGCTATTTAACATGCCTGGCAATCAGTGTTTTGATAAGTCAGTTTCAAAGCAACAGGAGGAAACTAACAGATCTCTGAAAGGTCACAATCATCTGCATCCAACCTGTTGGTGCACCACTGAAAAATGCAGGATTTTTAATATTAATAATATTATTAATAGGACAGGATTAACAGAAACAGCACTTCAAACATGGCCTGCATTGCAAAGATAAATATTAGGCACAAGTAGAAACCAGCATATAGACACAATACAGTATACTGTATAAGAATTGGACAAATAAAAAGGTTTATATTTACCCCCCTTTGTCGCAGGCTTTACACTGGTGATTTATTTCATGAAACCTGTATCATGAAATGTTCACAATATTTTTCATACCTTACATAAATATACATTTAAAATCCCTCTGTTTGTAATTATAGGAGCATACTGTTGCTTCCTAGTGAAATAAAAAAAACACAGAAACTTACATTTACTGGTAAATTGTGTTTATTCTTAACATCCCCACATGCCTGGTGTCTCAGTTAAACATGAGGTTCTGTTATCAAAGATGTTCAGTGAGAGCTTGGTGGACCCACTTGGTGCCCCTCGGCTATACAGCCTCACCAGATGCACTGGGTAATAACTGTCTTCTTCCACTGTGTAATTGTGCCTTTGGGACAAAGAGCCTTGGCTTGCATTGTCAGCCTGAGAAAACTATTTTACATGACACTTTAAAAAACGTTAGTGTAAGTTTGGCTGTGATTTTTAGTACAGGCATGGGACATTAAAACCAGAGAACACCTCCTATTTAAGTTACCCGTTACTTCCCAGCTGGCAACACAAACTCACTGTAACCAAGCAGCCAGATCAGTGTAAAAGTGTGCCCCTGCTGTGAAACCACTGCAGCCCTGAGACAGCATTGTGTGTCAGTCCATGATTGCCTGTGCACCGTGGCACAGAGCTTAGCACACATTTCTAAAGCAAGACTCAACATGAAACATTGTATGTTTAAATGTCACCATGGGAAGCAGGGGAAACATAAGAGTAAGTGTAGAAAAAGCAGAGAGCCAAAGTTGGATGTATTGCTATTCTGTACTTTTTGACTGTGCTGCTGTTGAATCGCTGCCATGCCGTGCAGTTTAAAAGAAAAGTGTGTCAAATTGTATATTCTTTTAACTGTAAAGCACACTGACATCATTATGACACTTTGCCTTTTGTCTTTCCTTCTTTTTCTTGTTCTCTTTCTCCCTCTTCTTCACTCTTGACACATTCTCACCACATTTTCCGTTGAAGAAACACTTACACATCTGGGAAATGTTAGCGGGGCCTCAGAAAAATAAATCAGGAAACAAGGATACAAAATGACCAAGAAAAATGGCAAAGGAGTGAGCTTTGCAACCTGATCATGTTTGGAGGTCAAAAGTTTCAGGGTAACCCAAGTGTGTTTTTCAGATTGCTCTGTGAACCAAAAGTGTGTCAGTTCCGTTTTGTGGATTTAAATTTCCAAAGCTTGTTAGTATAGTGTTGAACAAGGCCTGCATGGTGTCATATTAGATGAACACCATTATCAGTACAAATGGTGAAAAAGATGAGATATCCATTATATAGAAAAAGAGATGAGAGAATATTCTGGCTCATCCATTACTATCTAGTACTATCTTTGGACTGTACATTTTTATAACACAATAACATACAATATGATACATTAAGACAGGGATCTGAAACTATTTCTAGCTCCAAAAAATATTGCGCTTTCCTGTAATACTTTGATCATCGAAGTGACCTTCCCATTAGAGGACAATGCAAGCACTGGCCCCAAGACAATTTGAGTTTGAGACCCCTGCACTAAGATATGAACACAGGGAATGAACACAGTTCCTCTGGCTACACCATAAAATGCACATAATACATACAACAAAAGTTGTTATATTTAAAGTATATTTCTCTAAAACCTGTAAGAAATGTGTAAGCAGAAACATATTTCATATTTGGGAGTAGTATTTTTATATTTTTAATATTAACCCTCAGCACTTACTGATAAGAAAGTATAGACCTGGTGAACACTGACAATTGGGGTGAAATTTCTACACAAATCACAGATTGTGTCTTTTACTTTCGCAGTAAGATTCATTTCTCTGGAGGTGAGCCAAGCTGAGTCTGTGGTTTCTCTATAAGTCTGGGTAGCCACAAAGATGGTATTTTATGTTGTGCGTGGGGATTCAAGCAAAAAAAAATGATTATTATTTAATGGATCAGGAAATTGTGTTGATAACATAGAATTGGCTTTATTTTCCAAAATTAACTAAATTGGATATTGGATACAAGTCGGTTCAGTGTATGACTGTATGTTTTTACAGGGGGCCGAGCATGAAGTAGCCTTTGGCTCTAAATTCATATTTTACTACCAACAGTGAGTAAATGGTGGTGGTTTTGGTTGATGAGTGATACATTTGACAGATTCATGACTCAATAATACACACACACACACACACATATAAAAACATTACCCATTTACTGTATGTCATGAGTGGACCATAATTAGTCAGTTCTAATCAAAAATATGTATACCATGTATGTATGCAGCAGTTGTTAGGCAATCTGCAAGAACTTGTAAACAAATCTGCGAGATGTTTTCATGTAGAATAGTGAAGTTGCACAGTCGCTCGCACTCACCCGTAAAGGGACTTTAATGTTCCCAGTAGGGAATCAAGAATGCAAACAAAGAGTGGGCAGGTGTTGTCTTTGTAACTGCACATTGTGCATACTAATAATCCTTTAAAATCAGTCACTCAGTGAGTTGGGCATATTGATATCCTCTAAATGTATTAAAGAATGTGAGCTTTTCTTTTGTTTAAATATTTTTCTTCATTTTTCACACTTTTCCATGAAATATGTGTCAGTAGTTTGAAACCTGAGAACCGGCTTTATGAATAACGGCGCTCTAAGGATTAACTAGAGCCTTTAAAATACCTCAAACAGTTTATCCAATTATTACATTGTTTGTAAAGCACTGTATTAATTATGTGACCAAACACAGTTTACTAACTTAACATTCTTAAAAATATTCTTACATACATTATACAGTACCTCCATATTTACCATCATGTTAGGATAAATGTAAAGTCATACAAATGGACTGAATGGCAATTTTGTGCACAACAAATAACTCTATAATTAACCTCTTCCCCTCTTTTTTACTCCCAGGTGCCTCCCCATACCCTGGCGTCCAAATTGACGAAGAATTTTGCTGCAGGCTGAAAGAGGGGACCAGGATGAGAGCACCAGAATACTCTTCCTCTGAAATGTGAGAATTTCTGTTAACTTCAGTAAACAACAAATTAAAGTCTAAATCACCTGCATACTGTCCACCTCAAGAGAACATAAATGTAATTGTTTATACTGAGAAAACAAAAACATGTCAGAGTAGTTTAATTAATGCAAACAAGACTGAACATTCATTCAGATCTTTGTGACTTTCCTATAGCTGAAGACGTCTTGTTTATCCCAGCTAGCCCCATACCCCCAGTTGTATTTTCTCCTCACAGAGGCACGGAAAATGAAGCCAGCAACCAAGTAAAAGGCTCCCATATCGATATACAACTAAGAGGAGGCATTGTGTCTTTTTCCCTCTTTGTGGTTTCATCAGCAGGTCAGGGGTGCCTGATAAGAATCATGGGTAACCCTACTCTGAATGTAGCAGCAGGAAACATTAGCTACCGATTAGCTCTGCAGTGGTGAGCTTGAAGCTCTGAAGCATTTCATGATTGACAGTGGCGCAGATGTAATGATTGAAGTCCAAGTTCTCCCAGTGACGAGAGCCAGAGAATTTTATGGAGCAGGGGCTGGTAGATGGTGCAGGACATAAATATCTGTGGGAGAACAGAGAGTCCTCTTCTTTGGTATCAGTGCTGTCAGTCAGGGATGCAAACGTTTTTTGTAATAAGAATACTTGAATGACTCTGACTCTGCAGTCCAATGTACAGCCGCTCTAGACTGAGCAATCACAGTCTGAGCTCTGCAACCGAGCCTCATTCCAACACGAGTGCATACGTTTTGTCTGGTTTTAATTTAAGATTGACTCATATAGTCCACAAATCGTATTTGTTTTGAAAGCATAATGCTGCACTTCTGCTCAATAATGATGTGATATCAAAAGGTCAAGAGTTTTTAAACAGCTTCTGCCAAGTAAAACTAACTGAATGAATTCATCATCTTTGCAAAGGAGACAGTGATTGGAAATGAAACATAAAATGTAATCCAGACTGTAGTTTTCAGTCAGAGCAGAGGATCTGTAGATGCAGACCTACTGGTGCCAAGACTCTCACACTTTCCATCTCGGTTCAGGCAGTATATTGACGAAAGCAGAGCTGCCAGATTATATATTTTGCATGCTTACGGCTGTGAGGCCTGCTGTTGATTTAAAGCCAAGATAAAACCTGCTGATATCAGTTTAAATGGGATGCACAGTAATGCACTTATAGTCAGTGGGGTGAATTCCACTGATACGCCGCAGAGGTCTGCAGTCGATCACACATGTCTGTAAGCCCACGTTTTGGCACCTTGATCCTGATCCCAAACTCATAATGTATGAATGATGAAAAGCACATGAGGATGCAGGCAGTGCAATAATTCTGTGCCACAGCAGCACTGATTCATCAAGAATGTTGTCTGTTAATAAGATCCCCCGTTCTGATGCATTGCAGAGGAATTTAGCGGATGCTGTTTTATGCTGTATGAGTGGGAGGACAATAAATAGGATGCTCACTTCCCACTTACCCAACCGGACAAAATAGCTGAGTTCAACAGAATCCCCCCCCTTCCCTACCAGAGACACCACAGTCCCTCTAGACCCAAAATGTGGGGGCAGGATATTTATTCTCATTGCAGACCAGGCAGGAAATGTGGTTTAAATTGTGTAGTCATACAATGTGTCTACTTCCCCCCTCTCAATAATATGCATAAAGGCTGTGATCATTGCTCTCCACATCCTGTCACCGTTAGGAGGGCTACCACCTGGATGACTAAACTCTACGTGTATAAATGTGGGAATCACAGCCACTTGGCTCCTTTCAGCAGGGCCTCACAACACTGAGAGGCAGAGACATATAGATGCCCTGCATACAAACACAGATTGGGGGGGGGGGTCAATATTGCAGCAACAGCTCATGTGCTTTTCAAAGTCTTAACTTGAGATTGACTAAATATGAGGCCAAAGGGGAGTCATAATACTTCTATTTACATAAAACTTGAGATATCTATGGGGAAAGTGGTGGTTGCTGCAACAGAAACAGGATAGGGATCCATCACCCTACCAATCCCAATCACTAACATGCTATGAATGTAATTTGAACAGCAGTCGTGGTTTCTAAATTCCTTCACAAAATGAGACAGGCCACTGTGATTGAAACTCACACAAATGCTCTGAGTCTTCCCACAAGGGCAGAGACGCTGACAGCTTGTCAGAGACCTGAGCGAGGCTGTGTGCTCTCACTGGTCTTCACAGCCAAGACTGAGAGAGAATCAGATACAGCCACAGAGGCTCAGGATTACCTGGAAATAGAAAACAGGGCATGCATGAATATTCTACATGACAGTCAATTTAGAGGTGAACCAGATGTGGTCGCTCAATGCAGAGAGGTTTGTGCATTAAAGCTAAAAAGACAAAGGATTACCAACCCTGAGGATAGTTGATGTTCCTCTTAAAGGTGCTTAGTCACAGTTTACAATGCATCAACCGCAGCATTAAGAGTGTTCATCCAGTATGCTGAAGGCTTGCATGTGTCGGTCTTGCAGTTTGTGTTCAGTGCTGTGTTCTTTGCCCTCAGATATCAGACCATGTTGGACTGCTGGCAGGGTGAGCCACTGGAGAGACCAACCTTCACTGAGCTGGTGGAAAGGCTGGGAGACTTGCTTCAGGCCAGTGTGCAGCAGGTATGATAGACAAGATGTTTTGAGGACAAAATCCTGTCAGCGTCAGATTTGTTTCAACAGTAGCAGGAATTAATAGTTTATGATCTGCAGCTGTTGAGCTCGGGTGTGAGCCCAAACTAAAAGTGAAAAGAGTTTTATGGAAATGTTGCAGAACTCTTTTGATATTAGTCACTACTATGAGTCACAAACACTACAAATATTCAGGAAACAGTGTTGCTGATCAGAGTCAAGCAGCCCAAAAAAGGATTCAGTACGCCGTCTCGTCCAGGGGGGGTGCTCAGAGTAACTGAGAGGGGAAGTAGCACTCAACACAAACATTGGCTCCCTTTGAAATGGCACTATTAGTCTCGTAACAGGAACCACACTTCAAAACACACGGAAAAGCAATGTAATTGTTTGTGCAATATAATATAACATTGTCTGGTATGAATGCTGTGAAATGTCGCAACCTGTTTGTGAATTTTATAAGGCTGTCAGAAACAGCTGTTTCTTCTAATCAGGCCAACAAATATCCACTCAAGAAAAAATCTGAATTTGAATATTATGCAAGCATATTACACATAGTACCATTTACCCACATGTCAGAGTCCAATAGGTCCTTTTCACAGCAAACATTTTGATTTGTTAGAGGTCTTCATGGCTTGGTAGGTTTTCCAAGGGTGTGTTTCAGATCAGGTGGACCCTCAAAGACCTCTGTAGCTGTTCTCCATTCAAATGATTATGAACAGTGTATTTAATGCTCTCAACATCTCCATGAAGCACAGAATAAGTTATGATAATGTACAGTGTAACTTAGTGAGCCACTGAATTTCTAAACATTTATTTGTTATAACAAAATGCTTTTGAAGAAGATGGATGGAAAATGAAGAAAGTGGGACACCGAGCAAGCAACTTCCACTGATGATAGGGTGCTGGCCAGAGTCCTAACAAGAAGAGATCATTTTCAGTCATTAGGATCTACGCCCATTGTTATGTTTCCACTTCCAGCCTCTACTTCTCGTCCAGATTGTAAATTACTGCAGACAGATAGGCACACAATGAAAAGGAATTATATTTCACTACTTCTACAAAGACTACACGGTACTGTAGATTGTCCAGTTAAGTAATAAGAGATAAAGACAAGGACACACATCACATCACATGAAGACTACAGCATGTTGCATTAGAAATTAGTCTGTGAAAGCTATATTCATGAGAAACAGTTCAGACTCGACAGAAAGAACAGCAGACTCATTAATAAAGCTATTGTTACAGTGCAGGAAGGCTGGTCACAGTCTCTGCCGTCTCCATCAACTTCACGAACATTGTATTGGATTTATTAGGTATGACCTTAATTACTTTGGCTGCTCGCCACAACCTGTGGATGTGTGTGTTTTTATAGTGTGCACATGCCGTTGACTAACCTAAGCCTCTGTATAAGGCTTTACTTAGTTGTTCTGTCTCTGCTTGGTTGATTTAGGAGGGGAAGCACTACATACCCATCAACACAGCCCTGCTGGCTAAGGTTGGCGACCCGTCCGCAACAGTGCCGTCAGAGGAGACACCCACTCGACCTGTCTCCCACCGCGACTCAGGGAGCACCTGGTGAGAACATGGATCATTGTACTTCTGAAACTCCAATGTACAGATGTTGCTATATCTATTTTACCTAGTGCTGAGTTGTTATTTAGCAAGGGATAGCAATGTCAATGTGTCAGCCCAGTTCAGTCCAGTTTGTCATAAAATGTTATACAGACATTCGTAATCTAATGGCTTTGGCGATCCTCTGAATAGTGCCAATATGAGTTTGAGATTTGTGGTTTTGAGTGAAATGTCTCAACAACTAATGAATATTGGTTGCCATGAAATTTGGCATAGATGTTCACGTTGCTCTCAGGATGAATTGTAGTAACTTTGCTCCCTTATGTTTTTATCTGGTGCCATCATCATGTCAAAATTTTACTTTGTCCAGTACTTTGGCTTGTGACTAAATGCCTGCAAAACTAATGACCCATCACATAATATTGTATACATTATACTTCATCATGTTAGCATTTTCATTGGTAGCTTGTTAGCATGCTGATGTTGGCATTAAACTCAAAGCATGCAGAGCTGTTATAGCTGTGGATTCAAATCTGTTACACTCCCCCATGACCCTGTTAAGACATTCAAAGGAAATAAATCACCTTATCTTGAAGACATGTAATCCTACCCATAGACTGTTAAAAGCAAACAGCGCTAAGTCTGTTTTGCAAAGGAAAACAGTCCTTTCCCACTTTTCCCTGAATAATATCCAAAACAATTTGTGTTCCTGTAGCGCTCAGACTAAACTCAACCAGGAGAACATTTAGGTCTGACCTGAGGACAATGAGAGACCTGATTTGAACATGATAAGAAATATACACAGCTTGCTGGACACAGAGCTTTCTGTATTGTGGCTCCTGTGAGGAATTTCACCAAAAACCATAGAGCCAGCTTCAAGATTTATGTGCACTTAAAATAATATTTGTTGAGCTCTTGGGTTTTCACAGGTCCTCCAAGTGTGTTTATTGAGGTGGTGTTGAAAAGAAGTAATGACAGTTACCCCTTAAGCCAAATTAAGCAGTCGTTTTAGCCTCTGAGTGTTGAAATGCAAAGTAAACAAGGTGTGTTTTCAAAGTACAATGTCATAGATGCTGCACATTGTTGATTTAAGTGATTAAGTTCCTGTGGTTTTGTTACTGAATTTTGCCTTTCAGCTCAAGTGTAATCAAAGGATTCTCTAAAGAGAAAGAGAACATTTTGGGGTATTTTGGAGTCTTACCCTGAAAATATTTTCCTTCCAGGAACATCAAGATCCGTCCTGCTAGTGTGAAAACTTTTGACGAGGTTACCATGGAAAATGGGACAAATGAGAACCACAGGGTGAGTTATTTATTCTGGAACTAAACCAGAAACAAGCATGCAGTCTGTGCTCTAACTTATCCTAAGCCCAGGCAATTAGTTAGAAGACAGGCATTCGACAGTTAGCTAGAAACTTCACACTGGAACATATATTATATTGTTTATAGTGGCCCAATTTTTTATTTAAAATTTTATCCTACCTGTCAAACACTGTGTTAAAAGTTAATAACTGCTGATTTATGTGGAGTCCCACAAGGCTCTATACTTGGTCGGATTTTATTTAGTTTGTATCTGCTTGTGAACTACCCTTTTTAGGCCAGTGGCACGTCTCCTTTAGTCATGAAAATCACTGCTGCCTCGCTGCCATCAAAGACTCAATGCCCTTTAACTTTTTGCATCTGAATATTGACCTAACTGACCATTGGCAGCTAGCTTAAAACATTCAGACAGAAATCAATTGTTGTTTTTGAATGATACTTCAACCTCAATCATCACATTTAGAGTATTTAGAGTCTTGTTCAGTCTTCCTATCTACAAATCAGAAAATTAGAAATATTGCCAAAGTCACTAATGCAACAATTGGTGTGAAATGTAGCAGCAAGACATCTTACAAGCACTAGAAATGGAAAACATATATCTACAGTCCTGGAGGAATAACATTGGCTCCATCCTCGTTTTAGATTTCAATTTAAGATTTGATCTCTTAACTCTTTAGGGTGTGACAGCCAAATGTTGTTAAAAGTTCCTCAGTTCAGATTCAAGACAAAGGGGGCTCACGCTTTTAAATATTAAGTTAAAATATATCAATTAAAGGTGAACATTTCCAACAAAAATCCCACCTGTATAGACATTTTTAACTCATCACTCCAATGGTTTTATATTTCAATTCATTTCCCAGTTTAAACATTCCCTGAAATTATTTTTCTATTTTATGCCACTAACCTGTGAAGCACTTTGTAAGAAATAAAGTTTATTCACTAAATAACATTTAGATATTTGTTTATTATTATTGTTTAATATGACTATTGGAGTTTTATTTGGTATTCACTCTCATTATCAGAGCGGTCAGTCAGACAGCGGGATGGGCCTGTCGTCTGACAACATGCAGACTCTGAAGCGCCTCGAATCATTGGCAGGCCGACCTCTGAGCATCATGGCTCTAGCGTACGTACGCTGCACCACACAGCATCCCTGTACATCCCCTGCAAGTGACAAATCAGCACACACTGTAAAACACTGCAAAATACCTGCTTGGAAACCTACCCGCTGTGCTGGAATGTAGACGCTATAACTGTCATACACTCACACTCACACACACACACACACAAACACACACACAAGTTTCTTCTTCTGCCTTAAAAAGACGCCAGTGGCTACTTCACCCTTTTGTCTGAAGAAGCCATGCGGTAGGGACAGCGGCACAAAGGAGAAGTGGGAGGGAAAAAAGCTTGAAGGTGACAAACTGAAGGACTGAGCACAAAGCAAAGTGGATGCCTCACTTGAGGTTTGGCTTTTTTAAGAGCACACACTAAAACGTCTTTGTTTTCACTAAAAGAGTCCTGAATGAGATACCTCCCAGATGGATTTAACTTATGAGTCATGGCTGTCTGGTGTAATGCAATGCTAGGTAACAAACACGCACAATCCCAACGGAGTGACCTCGGCCTAAAGTTTGTACTCCAAAATCCTGTGGATCGTTTGATGGCTTTAAGATGTGGATCCTGCTTGGGCAAGTATATTAAACTGTCATAAAAGGAAAAAAAACACTGAGACAATATGTTCTCACTTTAGGAGTTATTTGAGGATAAAGTCAAATCTGAGTCAAATTTCTGTAAATCTCTTTCTTATGAGAGTCTCCATAGGTGTCGTAAGGCTTACATACTCAGTTTACAGCGGCTCTGTGGCAGGGTTAATTTACAGGGTCAAACCTCTGAACTCAGTAATTACACTTTAAACCTTGTGGTATTATTCTGCTATTCCCTGCACAGTAGCAACTATTAATACTCCTACTTCAAAGTATTGTGGCTTCCATTTAAAAGATTTAAAGGAGAAACAGCAGTAAATAGTCCTAAAGCAAATCTTCATATGTTTCCCTGAATGTTAAGTTGAAGAGGAAGGAGCTCAAACCTGTGAAAACAATATAAAAGCTCTTATAAATTATTTAGAGGGAACATGTAAACAACCGCTTGGGAAATAACTTATGAGACACACAGATTTATGACACTCTCTGAAGCACCATAATTAATTTACAGCTCACCAAACTCAATTCCACAAACACCCACTCACGGTGTCTTTTGGATCTCAGAACTTGACGTCGAAGGCTGCCGAGACTCATTACGGGTCTGCTTGTGTCATCAGGGCCTCGACGTGGAATAAAGAACCAACAGGCGTGCAGAGAATGATCTGCATTTTGAGGGGAGGACTTCCTTGCTGGGCAACCGCTCAATCACTGCCACCTTTGAACTTAGGAGGGTTTACAAGGGCCTCCCCTGCTAACTATAGTGCTGTGCTCCTTTTGTTTAGCTGAAGTCCACCTGTTGTTCCCTTGGCCTTCACCACTCCTCTGGCCTGAGCATACAACACAATTTTGATTGAACAATAACTGCTAAGAACGCTGCCTCAGTCTCAGTGATTTACTACATTAGACAAAAGTGCAAAAGATAGTCCTGTTTTGTCTAAGCAACAGTCTAAACCCTAAATGTGTTCATTTTACTATTATAAAAGACTAAGAAAATCAGCTAACATTCACATTTGAAGTGAAAAAAAGGTATTTTTTTACTTATTTGTTTCCTGTTGCCCTATTGCCAATTGTACCTGTAGCTTGGCACTGGCAACACTGTACTATTGTTAACTATTTTTGATGCCTAGTTTAACAGGTAGTTTATTCATCAGAGCAACATTCCAGTACAGTGGCGTCACCTACCCCCGCTGGGTGTCGACCCTTTGGCCTCGAGAGAGGAGTTCTGGGAAACCTTAGCAACCCCAAAGACAATAAGAGGCAATTACTCATATTCTGAGCGTCAAGTGAAGCAGAAAAGCTCAGGATGATTGATTACATCATATTTGAATAGGGAGAGGTTTGTCTGATTGTAAAGCTTCACAAAGCTCTCAAATCAAATAACATCCAAACAGTCCTCTGTTGTGGTTATCAAGTCAAGTCGAGGAAGCAAAGTCTTGATAAATCTTCATATTATAATACCATTAGAATAATTTGAAAGCTGCTTTGATAATATAAGATATCTTTGCATTGGTACTTTGAATATTTATCCACATACTGGGGACACAAGAATGCATTTTGAGAAAAGCCCTCAGGAAAATTTGGGTCCTCTGTTTCATTTCTTGCTCACAGTGTTAACTGATCATCCTGTCACACCACACTGATTCGTTCTGTGTTTTTTGTGTAAGGCTGATGGCCACATATTATTACATTGGTGCATCTCTGTTTTCATGAACAGAAAAATTAGGACAAACTGGAACTCGTGGATATTAGAGCTCCAACTAATGATTATTGTAATTACTGTGGAGATTATTTTCTTGATTAACATCTTTTGTGTATAAAATGTCATAAGTGGTGCAAAATGTCCATCACAACTTCCGATAGCATAAAGTGACATCTTCAAAGATCATGCCCTGTCCAACCAATTCAACAAACATATTCAATTTACAACCATACCAAACAGAGGAGCATTAAACCCTCACATTTGAGAAGCTGAAACAAATAACATTTTTGTGTAAAAAATTACTTCAAAACAAGATCATTTGATTGTCATAATAGTTGCAGATTAATATTCTGTAGATCGACTAATCAACTAATTGCTTTAAGATTAATGGAATTGTTTTAAAATCGTGATCATAAGAGATGAATGCAACATTCACAATATCCAAAATACAAACAGTATCCCCAACAATAATAATGTAATCCAACCCACCAGACCTGCACCACTACATTAAAGTCAGTCATTTTACACACCAGCCGATGATGGAAACACACAAACAAACAAAAGAAACAAACACTCAGCAACAGCACAAGTCAGAAATGTATACATGTAATGGTGTTACACTCTCTGCTTCCATTTTCTTCTGCAAATGTCAAGAAAGCCTTCTGAACTGCATTACATTTACACGTTTGTATACTCATTTTTATTTTTCTATGGTTTAAGTAAAAAATGAAAAGTGATTTTATGCATGTGGATAGTTTCTGTGTTTTTATATTATCAACCTGTGTATATATATATATATATATATATATATATTTCCCTGTTATACTCATTTTGTATGTCTTTGTGTTTTCAGGATGAAGGCAGTGAGTAAGAGTAAAGAGTCTGTGCTGAGTGACACAGAGAAGGAGAAGTTCCCACCCACGGTCCCCTCTCTGGACTTCAGTCTGGACGACTCGGCCCTGGACGCCGGTCTGGAGTGTCACAGCCCACCTCCCGACTACAACTACGTGGTGCGCTACTCCACCCCACCTGTGTAACCTCCTGCTCCGCCCCTGGAGAATCTGACTGACAGCCTCGAGGCCTTGGCTTCGTTCTCCTCTGTTTTGGCTCTTATCTCTGGATGTTTTTGTAGCAAAGTTTAAGAGGAAAACACGTGAGAGTCCTCTTAAAGTGTTTAGAAAGGACGCTCTGAAATGAATCATGAATCCACTCGACTGTAGTTATCTTCCAACTTCCAGGGCGTCTGCTGTGCAACAAAAAGGAAACCTGCCGACTGTTGATTCCTTTCCAGTTTTCAGACGTAGGCTGACGTTAATGCTGCTGGTTCGTTCCACATTCACTGTGATATATCAAACAGCTGAAAACAGGCTCAGGTATTTCTTTCATCTACTGTGAAAACAAACCACAATGATTCCAACTTTACCACAGATCAGAATAAATTACAACCTTTGATGATAAAGAAAAAGAAAACACAAAGGATAGCTAAGTTTATATTGAGACTTTTTTATATATTTTTGAATTTAATTCAACTGGAAAGAAAAAAGTAAAAAAGAAATTAATTTTGTAATGTGGCTGCATCCACTCATATGAAGGTCGGCTAAAGTTCAGGTTAGCTCAGAGCAAAAGCAGATGAACAACAATATAACAGTGATTATTGATTATGAAAAGTCTCTTATTTGAGGTGTCAGTGCTCCGGTAATTCCAATAAATATCAGCTCAAGTAACTCAGGTTGACCCAGAGTGACAGAGGAGAGGAGTGCTCTGTCATGTAGTGGTGGATGTTTTTTAAGCTCTCCAGGTTATGGAAAATCACAGGTTAATGGAGGTTAATGGAGGAAGCAGGGTAGACCAGACAGCTTCAGATTACCATGAAAGCTTTTGAGTGAAAAGTTACTGTACATGTAGATTCCTCCTCCTACCCCAGTCTGGTATTGAAGTAACTCTGTGTTATTATTGTTTGTTCAAAGTCAAAAGGAGAAAAAAGGTAGAAACATGAGATTAGAACAAGACGTCATCAAAAAGCACTAGTAAAATGAGTTGTGTATTTATTTAGATTGTAAACACTGTTACTTAGTTATCCACTTCTGTCTATATTCATATTTAAAAGGTAACCAAAGGATTTTCCAGCTCAGTCATCCTCATTTAAACATGTAATATCCCAACATTTCACTCAGATGTATATGCTGTTCGTGCTGCTGTATAGTAAAGCTGAGGGAATGTGCTCCCGTAGAAAACACGTATGTGGATATTCTCGGTCCTTCGCCTCGTGCTGGAAAGTGTCAGTAAAGCTTGCAGGGCAGGCTACATAAAGTCTCTGTGTGTGTGTGTGTGTGTGTGTGTGTATGTGTGTGTGTGAAGTTAGCACCGGTCTGCTCTGGTTCACTGTTGAATTATTTGTTAACGTGTTAAAAGAGAAAAACAGCATTTTGAGCATTTTATTTGTCATACCAGATGTATTGAAAATATTGTGGACCAAACTTTTGTTCACGCTTGTGTTAGCGTACACACACCCTGTAGAAATGCAGCTAGCTTGTACTTGTTGACCACTAAAGAAAACAGTTGTTGTCAGTGATGTGCTGCAGTATGAAGTGAATATTTTGAACCCCTGAGTATTTCCAAATGATGGTTTTTGTTTTGCTTTTGTGGAGAGGAAGTGATTATGCACTGATACTTTATATCCAGTATAATTTTTTTTTATCTAAAGGTATATTATTATGAAACAGTGTTGAGGGTCACATGTTACAAAGATTTCTGATTTATTTTGCATTTTTATTTAACTCATTAACTCTAGTACATAGTCGGAAATTAACATTTACAGTATTTGTTTTATTATTTCTTGCCAGCCTAACATCATAACAGAGTATGTTCGCTTGTTATAATTCTGTATAAAATATTATTTTAATAACTGCTTTCACAGTACAGAACATTCAAAGGTTTCAATCTGAATGCAAAGGGGAATGTATTTTATTGCATTTCTTTATGTAACTATCAAACCACCCTCACAGCTTTTTCTGTTATGTAGTGTAACAAGTTAGTTTTGATGAAAGTAATGTTCCCCAACACTGTTAACTGAGCATATGAAGTAAATAAATGAATAAAGATCTATATATTTATACATTACTTGTAGTCTCGACTCATAATTGTTTGAAATACCTACATGAGGAAACATTCATTCATTCTTCAGTGTGGCCCGAGGACAATGATTCCCTGACTTGTCCTCCGCCATGAGGTTTATATTTGTGGTTTAAAGTAAAATATCTCAACAACTGAAAACTACTACAATTAAGCTAAAAGCCTCATAAAACTTCACCACTGTCTTTGTCTTTGGGTTAGTTTGAATTTGGTTTCATTCAAAATGACAGAAACATGTTCAGTGTTTTTTAACCAAGTGCCACAAGTCCAATGCACATCCTTTTCCTGATATTCTACAACAAGCAGAGTTTAAAATGTAGACAGTTACCTCAGTGTGCATCTACAAACCTCTGGTGCCAATAAAATAAAACCCACAGTATGACTGATGATCTGCTTGAAATCAGTGAACCCAACCTTTTTGTCCTTTTTGTCCTTTCTGAAGTTATTAGTAGCTTATTACAGGTTGCATTGCCAGCAGTGCAACCAAAAGAATGCGGTTCCTTTCACAGGTTTTTACATTTCAATAGTTTTCAGAGGCTTGACGTAGCAAAACTATCCAGTAGTTCACAATTAAAATAAAATCAAAACCGAAAGAAAAATAGTTTGTGTTGCAAGAATGTTTTTCCCCTTTTTCCCATGCAAATTATCTCATGATTCCTCAGAATGTATTCTGCAATCCCTTAGAGGGCCCCAACCCTCTTGTTGGGAACCACTAACACAAGTGTGACCGGAGGCTTCAGACTATTCTTAACTCCAACCAAGTTCACAGAACGCTCCTTAATTATTCCCTTTTGAGTTCTCAAACCTTAATGAAAAGATCTGTTTGAACTGGACCAAGCCTCTAGTGGGCAGCTCCTCTGCTGCTCCTTGGACTGTGAGAGACTCACTTCCTCCGCCAGGACAAGGTGTCGGCAGCCTGTCTGCCAATGCCCCTCCGAGCAGGAAAGGAAGGAACTCTTAATCATCCTGGTCACGACCGGAGGACGCCACACACAGGGCTTCCTATGGGGGTGCAGTGCCCCTGCCTACCGGCACTGGGTGTGTCAGAGTGGACCACACGCCACAGGACAGGTTGGGCCCTTGACTGTCTCCACTTGTCCCCATAGGATTTACTGTGTTTACTGTAAGGTGAGCACTCCAACATTACACCCTAACACATATCAACAACCTCCGCCTATGTCCAGAATATGAGTAACAAACAAACAAGGGAAGGATGTTGGGGGGGGGATATTCTTCACTGTCATGTTTTTTTCTCTCTCTCTTGGTAACAAACAGGGTTTATGTCTACACCTACACACAGTATTTTTCCACACAGGCAGTAAGTATGAGGTCTGGCCTTTCCTGAGGGACCACTGCGCCTGGGAGCAGCTCTGTGACTGAGTGAAAGCACTGCAGAGGGTTCATTAAATTTCTGCTTCATCAAAATTAAAAAAGATATTTTCTACTGATAATTTGAATCTGCAAAGAACCCATAGCTGTCAAATGTAGTAAAGACTACAATATTTCCCTCTGAAATGCAGTGAAGTATAAGTATTGAGTTGCATAAAATGGAAATACTTGAACTTAAGTTCAGTACTTCGTTGCTTTCCATGAGTGTAATTATTGATCTCAAAGAAGCCCCAGCAGCACTGCTCATATCAGTAAATAAAATATAACAAAGAAGAAATCACGTTTACTAAATCAAACCATCTCTACATCACCTCTACTATTTTGCATGTATTTTCTCTTTTTAATTAACCAATCCATCTCTGTTACTGTCCTTGGGTACATAAAAGACATAATTTAAGATTATTAGTAGTAGTAGGACAGTAACACAAAGAGGGAATTCCATATTAAAAAGAAAGACACACAAGGCATTAGAATATTGTTTCAAGACTTGAAACAAGAGTCCGTGTAATAAATAGCACGGCGTCACCAGGTGGGAAATAAGCACCACTGAACAAAGAAGTTTTGCGCAACACCATGACTAGATAACTCATTGTTCTGTGATCAGAAGTATTACTAATGAAACATGTGAGGGTATAAATCTGTCACCAGAAGGAGCAGGATATGAGTCTAGGTGGAATGTGAAAAAAATTGTGAAGTCTTTTGACACCAAACACAAACCTTTAAAACTTAACTTTGTTTTTAATTAGACAGGCTTGGAGTGTCGGCTCAGTCAAAAACCATACATTTTGGCTTTGTAGTCTGTGCAACATATGACACCTTCTATACATAGACTCTCAGTTTGGATGAGGAAAAACTACACAAAAAAAACCTCAGGAAGAGCAATGGAGGAGAAATCTCTTTGTCTTCGGGGTCTGATCAGTCAGTCATGACTTTTAGTTACAGAGTACAAAGAAGGTATAACAATCAGAAACATTCTCTTTGTATCAAGTACCACAGTCTGTTTTTGTTTCCCATTTAACTTCTACATTTATGAAAATGTCCTCTCCCCTCCTTGAACTCTTCCACAGATCCTTCCCAAAGCAAACAGAGCTGCAAAACACGCCATTATGCATTGGAAAAGAGGCGTTAATTAATTCAGGAAACCTCTGAAACTACGCCAAAGAACACCCAACTGAATCTGCGCAGCTTGAAATCCTATCATACACTGATTTGGGGGCTGTGGACTAAACAACACAAAGCCCCCCCCCCCCCCCCCCCGCCCCATATGAATGGACATACAATGCTATTCCCAGACCCCTGCCCAAGAAGGTGAATGGTGGGTAGGCCACATCCGCGCCTTTCACCTAAATGTACAACAATGAGCCGGATACTGTCCCCTTAAAATACCTAACTTCAGTACACCTTTACCAAGTTAAAAGCAGCGCCAACAACACATACAGCTAAATAAAGACGCTTCTATAATAGGCTTCAACACCAGTGTAGTTCAGAGGGCAAAGGGGCAAAAACAAAGATCAGATCAGCAACAGGTTGATATCTCTATGTCTTGTAGCTAAAGGGAATGTCAGACATGATGACGGTGCTAAAGGCAAAACAAGTAAGTGAGTAAAATATGATTAAGAAGCATGTGACTGTAAGTTTCTACCTGTTTTATGCCTGCATCCACACTGGTTGATGGGAATGTCATTAGTTTTGCATCTATGTTTTAATTAGTGTATAATCACCTGAGAATAAGAATCATTGTGTTTTTGTTACCTTAGAATGAGACGTTTTTATCTTCAGACGCCACGGGTCGCCTTCCATGGAGTCCGCCATGTTGAGCCGCCATGTTTCGACAGCAGCCCAGAAGACACAAACCAAACACTGACTATATATAAGGCCTTTCATTTTTTCCAGAGTTTCACGGCCACTGTAGTTTCCTGCACACTTCACAGCCGGTTCTCAAAAACAGACACGAGTGGTGTTCAGTTAGTTGCAATCTGCAACTTCACTACAAGATGCCACTAAATCCTACACACATGGTCCTTTAATTACATCAAGAACAATCTGGTCACTCCACCTGTTAACACCGACTGTGTATTTGGAGGGAATGATTCATGAGGATCTGTGATGTTGCTGAAGTTTCAAGAACTTTAAACTCACTTCAGGAAATTAAAAAGTGGTATTTTATTCTGGCTGAGCCTCTCATGTGTTGTGAATTAATAAGAACAATCCAAAACAATTCAAACATAGTTGTTTTTTTTTTTTTTTTTTTTACTGAATCTCTTAAAAACATCAGAAAGCTTATATTGTTGGTCTGAATTTAAATTTGACTGGCTGGCATGCCAGTGGAGTAAAAGAAAGAAATATTGCACAACGTTAACTTTATTCGTAGCATGTGTTGTCCTTCTGTCTGTCCCTGTTTGTTTACTGATGACAAACAGAAAGCAGACTTATATCAGATAAGACATCCGATCACCTCCTGAATCCAATGTGGTTCAGTGATAACTCCAGCTGTACAGAGGCAACATATATCTGATCGTGAATTGTCTGACTTCAAATTGTTTCCAGAGAAATGCAACAAAACTATGTCAGCTCTGCACCCTCGGGAGCCTTCAGATTCATCAATGCCCATTCAAAGGCCGAAGTGCAGTGAAACCAGCTCACAAACTTGCCCCCATTGTTTACCTCTCTGGCGGGGGTAAAGGATGCATAGAGTGCTCGTACACTACAAGGGCCTGGGAAAAAATGCTGGCATAATTAATGTGAACATGGTGGGGTTTTGGAGTTCATATGCATGTTTTTCATCTTAATCCCTTTTCTATCCGATGCAGCGCTGCCAGGCTTCTGTATGGTCACCCTGCAGCTCTGTGGCTGCTTTGGGTGAACTGAACTCCCTTCGATGAGTCCAAATGTGGGACATCAGAACCTCCCGCTTGCTGCCAGCAACAGTTTGCAAATGTGTGGTGGCTGGCACTCGTCTCCTCTCTGTCGCATGTTGTGGCTTCACTTACCACACATCCCAGACAAAAAAATATGAAATCCCTAAATTGTTTTCTCCCTGCATTCAAGTGTCTGCTGAATCAACCAGAATTGTAAGTTGTTTGTTTTCATGGCACAAACTTTGCAGTGAGTCAGTGAGTCCACCACTTTGGTCCAGACTGTAATATCTCAAGAACCATTAGATGGATTGCTGTGAAATTTGGTGCAGGTCTCCACTGGGCCAAGACTGACTTTGGTGGTCCTGATTTTTCCTCTAGCACCATGAGTTTGCTGTTTGTGGGTTATTGTGAAACATCTCAGCAACTATTAGACAAATGGATTGTTGTGATATTTGGTACTCACACTCATTCCCCCTCAAGATGATATCTCAATAAATATCAGCAAAACTACTAACATTCCCATCAGCCTCGGCTGTGATTTGTTTGACTAATTAGCATATGTCAATATGCCAACACTGCAATCTAAGATGGTGAATGTGGTAAAGACTATAACTGCTTTGAATCTGCATGTTAGCGTGCTAATGTTAAAGCACAGTTGTGCCTGTATTGTATTGCCTCACAGAGCTGCTGGCATGGCTTCACACTCTCATGATCTATCCACTGGTGCATATTGTGACTGCC